GTGTCTTTAAAATAAAACATTTCATACAGTCACTATGTCCATTCTTTAACTCAACATGTGTCTGAAACAGTAAAGTGTAAGACATCCTCGGCTCTAGTTCTCAGACCAGCAGGTTAAAACCACATCATAAAGCCCACAGAAACAGTTTCTGTAACGATGCTCAGTTGTAATGTCACACTGAGCTGGACTGCAGAGCAGGTTACAATCATGTGTGATGAGTCTATGGAGCTTTAAAACATGTGACACAGGAAAGGTACAAATCATTGGTGTCTCTCACCTCTGACAGTCAGCCAGCTCTCAGGTGATTGTCCGACTCCAGGGATGCTGCACCTGTAGAGTCCTTCATTAGACGTAGAAACACCTTGGATGGTCAGGTTTCCTGCAGAGCTGCTGTCCATGAAGTGGCCACCTTTATAGAAATCAGCAGTGAGGTTGGAGGACGTCTGTTTCTCTCTGCAGTGCAGAGTCACAGCATCGTCCAGCATCACAGGACGGGTAGGACTGTCCAGGATCACTGAGCCAGCTGGAGAATATGTAAATCACAGTTTGAAAGCCTGTAAGACAACATGGCAGATGCTTCCTGTGTTTAAATGTCTCAATAGGTGATGTTGTTTGGAGCATACTGGGGTCACGGTTTCTTGTGTCAGCACACAGTGAGCAGTATGTATTAACCTTCAAGCTGAGACATTCACAGACACACAAAAAAATGACGACTTTGCACACTCAGTGTTTCAGTGGTTACACACCAGCAACAGTGATGTTGACAGAGTTGCTTTTCTTCCCTCCTCCTATTTCACACCAGTATTCTCCACTGTCGAGGGCTGGATAGGCGTTACGGATGACACAGGGTCCCGTTGATGTCGACCAGGAAGGAGAACACGTATTAACGACATCTTTGATCTTCCTGATCACTCTCCATCCAGTCAGTCCCTCCAGACCCTCACAGCTCACTGTGAAGGAGTCATACGCAAAGTGCTGCTGTCTGTTTGGATCAACCTGAGGGAAAGCTGCATCTCTCACACACACACACACACACACACACACACACACACACACACACAGAGGATGAGATGTATTAAAGGGATAGTTCAGAGTTTTTAATGGGGTTGTATGAGGTCCTGAAGCCTCGTCAGCATGTTACAGACAGTAGATGTCAGTCGGCACAGCCCCAGTGTGTGACACAAAAGCTAAACATTGTGCTGCTGTGGAGGGGTCAGCGTTAAATCGTATCATCACCACCTAAAAACACCAAGATCAGTGTAAGTGTACACTATATTGAGGGTATGTTCACAGCTTCACCTTGATGTCAGACAGCCTGTTCTGACAGCTTCAGTCTCCCAACTCTACAAAGACACCAGACTCCACTGGCAAAAACACTCATTAGCCCACTGGACACGTGAGCCGCCACTACGGCTGCTTCGATCAGTCAGTTAGTTTGTGTTGCTGTGTGACTTTGGTCAATCTGAAGTAACTTGTTTAAACACCAAAGTCACACAGCAACACAAACTAACTATCTGATGGAGGCAGCAGTCGAGCAGCAGCTCCTGTGTTCACTGATGTTAAATCACTGGTTTTCTCAGTGGAGTCTGGCTGTGAGGAGAGAGATATAACAGCTTCATTCTCCTGTTGGAAGTCAGTGTCTGACATTAAAGTAAAGCTGTGACAGTACTCTTAACATAGTGTACATCTAAACTGATATTGATTTTGTTTTCAGGTAGCTAAAATAAACTTTGTTGCTGACCCATGTGGGACTACAGCCTGTGTCTCCATGCTGACCGCCACCTCCTCCAGGTAATACACTGACTACAGAAAGCATATGAAAGCCAGTTAAAAAATAACAACATCATTTTAAATAGCAAGGTGACTCTTTATCATTTCTTAATTAATCTTTTTAGGCAAAAACAACTTTTAATTCTCTTTCACAGCTCAAACGCAGTGACGTCAAAATGTGCGCAGCAGAATTTGGACCAGCATTAAATGTTTAAGAAGTTCTCCTGAAATGCAAATTCTGGGTCATGTTAAATTAAAACATGGAAGGACAAATGTTTGTACCCTTCATTTTATATATTTCAACTCTATATTTGCAAACACTTGAAAACTGAAATGTAAAAGTTTAAGATGTCATCTGTCAAACTTCTGTCGCCCTCGGCTGTAAACGTGGGGACTGTTTGATCCATTTGGAGCCTAAGATGTTGTTTGAATGAGAGCAGGTATGCGAACATTATGAAAATGCTTCTTACCATCATGTTGAGAATCACTGAGGTCGACGTGTGCGACCAGCAGCAACAACACTGTCATCACTGCAGAGACAAGAGAGCTGATGTAGAAGATGTAATGTATATAACTGAACTGTAAGATGTAGATATATCTAATATCTGATCCATCATCAGTCAGCAGATTGTGACTCTCTTTACCACCTGTGTTCAGAGAGAGTACATGCAAACAATATCATATCTGTTTCCCCTGAACCCAACAGTGTCAGACTCAGTACTCACACAGTGTGACGCTGAGAGCTGTGACCTCCATGTTGTCTTGCTGCTGACTGACTGAACATCACACTGAATTTAAGATATGATTCAAGTCAGAACCTCCTCTTCCTCTTCCTCCTCCACGTCATGTTTCTCTGCTGATGAGGAAACAGCAGCTTGAGACTGAGGCTCAAGCAGCTGTCTCTCTGAGACTGAGCTGCTCTCGGTTAGAAAGAGAGAAGAAAAACAAGTGCAGTCTCAACAGGTGGCGCCACAGAGCCTGATTTTAGGAGGTTATAAGAGGAGCATCAAAGACGAGACAGAAAGGAAACAACTAAATATGATGTAAGCACAGTTTGTTGTGAATCACTCCAAAACTTGTTGAGGAAGCTTTATTAGACATCAGGATGTTTTGAGGGCTGTAATGAAATAAAATCATACAAATAGATAATACCAATAATAAGCCATAATTATTACCACAACAACCATCACTCATAAACAAGACCCCAAGATACTGGAACTCCTTCTCTGGAGGCAGTAACTCTCTCCTGACCCAGAGGGCACAATCAACATCAGGCACACAGACAGTGGCTCGCAGCGTCAGAAACCAATTAAAAAAGCCGTCTTTTAATGTCGGCATGATATACGGCCAGTTGCCGATATAGTTTAATGGGAAACACAAAAGGACAGGGATGAAAGTTAAGGCAGCAACTGGAGTGGGCAAGAGGAGTGGTGGATAGGTCCAGCAACCACCAACCTTCAGCTGGGAGGCCGGTGGTCACTTCCTGTAAGACTGTAAAGCCAAACCCTGGTCTTTTTTCCTAAATCCAACCACATGTGTGTGTTGGCTAAACGTAACCACGTGTGTGTGTTGGCTAAACGTAACCACGTGTGTGTGTTGGCTAAACGTAACCACGTGTGTGTGTGTTGACTAAATGTAACCACGTGTATTGAAGGAAAAAAAACATCGGTTGGTGGCGTTGTACCGACGTAGTGCTTTTATTTTGAAAGAGACTGTATGCAAACTGTACATTTCCTGTGAAAACAGAAGTGTATTTTGAAAACAGACAATGCATGTAACAGGCTGAAGTTGACACGGCGTCCCAGAATGTCAACAACCAACACACCCAGGGTACCTTGGACGTCATTATGTTAATGACCAAACGTGGACATGTGACGAGGTCAGAGTGAGGATGTGACGAATCCACTGTTCTCCAGCAGAGAACCTTTGACTCAGACTGGAAGGTGCTGACTCTCATGACTGCTTCACACTCGGCTGCAAACCGCCCCAGGTCATGCTGGAGGTCACGGTGTGATGAAGCCAACAGAACCACAACCCTCACCTATGGTCATGAGCTGTGGGTTGTGACTGAGAGAATGAGGTCACAGAGACAGAATCCACCCCGACTCCTTTTGACTCTCACACAGTCTGATATAAAACAAGTCCCACTCTGCCCTCTGCAGTTAATCAGCCTCACATCACAACATGCATGCGTTCATTTATTTATTCTGTCATGGACGACATTCAGCTCCACATCTCCACCAGAGCCGTCACTCCTGCTGCTCACTCCACCCTCACCATCTCAGAAACATTGGCTGCCTCCGTCCATCCCTCTGCTCTTCATCTGCAGAGACTCGTTCACTCATTCATCACTTCCAGACTGAGACAGTCTCCTCTACAGCTCATCACCCAAAACACTCAACAAACTTCAGTGTATCCAGAACTCAGCTGCTCGTCTCCTCACACACTCCTGTCACCTCATCACCTCCGTCCTTCATGACCTCCACTGGCTCCCCATCCCCCAGCGTATCCATTTCAAACTCCTCATCATCACTCACAAAGCTCTCCACAACCTGGCTCCACCTCCTTACCTGTCTGAGCTCCTCTACCGGCACACTCCCTCCCGCCTTCAAGAAATCTCTCAAAACACACGTCTAAAATCTGTGTTTTTCTTCCTCTCTGCATCATTTGAACTCTGCAGTCACCTTGTCATTCACAGTTTCCACTCACACAACTTCCTTGTTGAGCCGCTCATGTGTTCCTGTGGTGTTTCATACAAACATGACCTCCAGCAGATAACAGGCCCAGAGTTCAGGTCATGAATAAACACACTGAGAGAAAACGAAAGTACAAAGCAAGGACACACACACACACACACACACACATTTCTTTGATATCAAACACTCACAATAAGTCACAGATGATTAGAAGCTGCTTTGATTGGCTGGATTTTACAACCTGTAGTCTAAAGGTTGGGCGCAGATACCGACACTGAGTTTCACACGTTCTGTTTCTCACTTGCTAAAACAAAAACAAGTGTGTGGACACAAGAGCTCAGCACAGTGACAGAACGCAGTGTTTCAGGCTAAGAATCCAATAAAGCTGCAGGTGTAGAACATCGTGTGTGTAGTCTGACACACTGCTTTGGTTATACTGGAGAAAAACAATAAAGTCAAAACACAGGTTACAGATTTACAGAGGGGGCGGGCTGATAGCAGCCGTGAGTTCATTTCAGACTGTTTTATTCTGGACTTTGACCGTGCAGGCTGCTCTCCACTGAGGCGAGGCGACTCTGAAACACGCACAAGGTATGTCGCATTTAAACATGTAACACTTTAATGGATTCATTTAGTGATTTTATCTGACTGTGCCATTATCGTTATTATGTTTGTCCTGTGTCTCGACTGAAAGTCAGACTACAGTCTTCAGTCTGCAGTCTTTTGTCATACATATCGGTGGGTTCGGTCGCACCCATCAGTCGCTCAGAAAATAAGGCTGTTGTAAACATTACAAACCTACATACGGAGAGCAAATGTTATTTATAAAAGCACATGAATGAATATTAATCACAATGACACATAACACTTGGCCTTTCTGAACGCTGACACTGTGGGAACAGTTTTTTTATGAGGTGAACTCCACAGAGAGGGGGAGGCGACTGGAAACACCCTGTCACTCCAGGTTCAGCACTTTGAGGATAAATCACAAAAGACAAATCACAGCACTTTACTTTTTGTTTTCACAAACTAAACCTCTTGAAAATCAGTTTACTCTTTCCTCGTGTCTTAACTGCAACGTTCAACTTTTGTATGTTTGAGTTACTAATACAACCTCTGATCACATCTTTAAGGAGTTAAAGGGATAGTGCACCCAAAAATGTAAATTCAGCCATTATCTACTCACCCATATGCTGAGGGAGGCTCAGGTGAAGTTTTAGAGTCCTCACATCACTTGCAGAGATCCAAGGGGAGAGGAGGTAGCAACACAACTCCACCTAATGGAGGCTGACGGCGCCCCAGATTCAAACGTCCAAAAACACATCATTGAAACCACAAAATATCTCCATACTGCTCGTCCGTAGTGATCCAAGTGTCCTGAAGCCCCGACATAAAAAGTTGTTTGGAAAAATGTCATGTGAACTCTGCTATTAGCTTTGGGTCACTACGGACGAGCAGTATGGAGATATTTTGTGGTTTCAATTATGGGCTCTAGTTTCCCGGCGCAGCGCAGGGTGGCGCAGGTTGGCAAACCCCGCACAGAGCTAGTTTCGAGCAGCGCAACCCGAGGCGCGCTCAGTTTGGTAGTTTGGCAGACCGAGGTGCGCTGAGATGGGTGTGGCGGCGCAGCAGGGGGAGGTGTCGACAGATCCAGCTTGGCGCAGTGACAGTTTCGTGCCAAAAGGCTTTGCTGAAGGTGCGCTAAAAGCTCGCCATCTGAAACCAGGTCTACTGTCAGCGCAGGCGGAGTGCAGCCGGTGTAAGCCGAAGTTTGGCTGACCGGCGGGCAGTGCGCACACGTCACCAAAACCTCACAGGCAGGTTTCCAGAATATCAGGCACATTAACGATGCAATAAATACCCACAAAAACACTATTCAATGCAACTATCTCCAATCAGCACATAAATGTATCTCTATATCGACTGTCCCGTCACATCTGATGTCAGATCAAAGGGGATTGGCACCGTTTGGCACGTTTGGCACGCGTAATGGAAACCCAACCTGATTTGATTAACACAGCTGCAAACTAATGAGTTCACATCCCTCTCAGCCAACCACAAACAGCCACAGTATCAGATAGGGAGTATATATTCAGCATCTGTCATCTTAGAAAAGTCAAAAGAAAAGAAACAGAGTGAAACTGCGAGAGAGAAAGAGAGAGCGCGCGCGCACGAGAGAAACGCAACATTGATTTACAATTGTGGTGACCTCCTCCCAGGCTACCTTTGCATCATCAGCCCGTGGAGGTCTGCTCACAGTTCCGTATAGTCGGACACTGACACCAAAACATCAGTTTCCTCCTGGGAGAAGTTTGGCCATCTGACGCTGCTGCTCTCTTCTGCCAGGGCGAATTGAGTAAACTCTCATTACGCCTTCGCACGGCACATTTAAGGGCGAGGAGAGGGGCTCATTTGATTGGTGTGATGCGTGTAAAACCCACTCCACGCCTTCTCTCCTCCCTCTTTCAGACTTGCGCAGGTAGGAGGGACGGAGATGGGAAAGAGAAGTAGCTGCGCCAGGCGCACGGTGTGCCAAACTTGCAAAATCCGCCTGGCCACACCCAGTTGGTGAAGCGCAGGTGCGCTGCGCCCCCGCCTCGCCCGGTCTGCGAAACTAGAGCCCTATGTGTTTTTGGACGTTTGAATCTGGGGCGCCGTCAGCCTCCATTAGGTGGAGTTGTGTTGCTACCTCCTCTCCCCTTGGATCTCTGCAAGTGATGTGAGGACTCTAAAACTTCACCTGAGCCTCCCTCGGCATATGGGTGAGTAGATAATGGCTGAATTTACATTTTTGGGTGCACTATCCCTTTAAAAACAAAAAGTGTCTCCACTCAAAGAGATATTTAAGGTTGATCTGGTGTCAGATACTTTACAGTTGACCTACTTTCATTTCCAGCACTCCAAGATGACTCACATGAAGGACAGACTCCTCCTGAAACCTCAGCTCAGTGACTTTGGTGCACTGGTCTTGTATCAAGCTTGTATCTTCCTTCTGCTAACACACTCCAGTGGAGGTAAATGACACACAACAACAGATTGTTAATCATTATCAGAGTTTAGACACAATACCATAAAATATCATACAGTAGAAACAACCCTACTGTGACGCCAGAACACTACAAACAGACACAAGACAAAACCTGAGCTGCTCCGTCAGGACTGACTGATATAAAGAAAGTGGAAAATAAGCTTTTGTTGTACTGATATTATTTAGAACTTTAAAAAGCAGTAAAAGTAGGATTTCACAAACAGACCTGTTTGTCCCTCAGGTCAGTCTCAGGTGATTGGCACGTCTCAGGCAATGGTGGCAATGGTTGGTGCCGACACCATTCTGCCATGTCACCTGGAAACTGCCGTGGATGCTACCGACCTGACTGTGGAGTGGGCGAGACCTGACCTGGAACCAAGATTTGTCCATTTGAGGCGAGACAGTAAGGAGCTGGTGCAGGAGGGGCATCAACTGTTCACGGGGAGGACATCACTGTCCACCAACAAACTGAAGTGTGGAGACGTTTCACTGACACTGTCCAATGTAAGACTTTCTGATGCCGGGACATACAGATGCCTCGTTCCCGATTCTGGCACAGAATCTGTGGTCGTGCTCACTGTTGGTAAGTTTGCATTAATGCGTCCTGCACTATAAAAAACTACAATGATCCATGAAAGGTGTAACTGCATTACATAGTGATACCGGCAGCAGAGATTTGCACACACACTACTGTTTACAAGATCATAGAAGAGGTCATGTTCAGGTTCAGTTCTCATTATGTCCTGAGCTCAAAAAAGAGAGACACAGGAGTTAACCAGACGGGCACCAGAAGGGAACCAGGCTCAACAAAGTGGGTTGACTCCAGGACCATGTGCACCAACCAGACTTGCACTCAGGTGGACCCAAAAGGGAGCTCTGCTGACCAGAAAAATACTTGTCCTAACTGTAAGGATGCTTGGAGTGACCACAGGTGTATTAGTGACTGCTGATCACTTGGACTGACAGCAGCAGTCACTGGATCAGCCATGTGGGCATTTGGGTCAAGCAGAAAGAGTTTTAGACCAGTAAGAATGGCACCGTAGCTGACCAGAGTAAATGGGCCAAGAAAAGAGACCAGAGGAAGATTTGGACCGACCTAATGAGCACAAACACTGACAATAGGGTACTTAGAATGACCACAGGGGCATTTATGCCTAAAGAAAGGTATTTTGCTCAACCAGAGGGGCACTAGTGCTGAGCAGAGGAGCACGAAGCCAACTGAGTTGACATGAAGGGCCTTTTGATTGATCAGGGCCAACCAGAAGGTTATTGTGCTGTCAAGAAGGGTATATGGGCCAACCACCAGGGGGTTCATGTGGACTCAGGGGCACTTATGCCAAGTGGAGGGCATGTGCCAAATGCAGAGCCACCTGGATCACCTCTAGACTAGCACTTGAACTGACAGGAGGAATTTGAAATGATTACAGAGGCATTTTGGTCCACTAGAAAGGTATTCGGGCTAACCAAAGGGGTACTTGGACTGACCAAAGGGTATTTGGGCAGACTATGTGTCAGGGTACCAGTGTGACGCACTTCATTCTTGTGACTAACTTTATCTTTTACATTTCTACTCTCCATCAGGCTCTGTCTCCTCACCTGGTGTAGAGATTTCCAAAGTCAGCAACGGAGTGTTGTTGGTGTGTAAGTCTGCAGGCTGGTATCCAGAGCCTGAGGTGTTGTGGCTGGACGTTGAGGGAAACCTTGTCTCTGCTGGACCTCCAGAGACAGTCAGAGGTCCTGATGACCTCTATACTGTCAGCAGCAGAGTGACTGTGGAGAAGAGACACGGCAACAGCTTCACCTGTAGAGTCCAGCAGAGGAACATCAACCACACCACAGAGACAACTGTTCATCTTCCAGGTAGAAAACATGACGTGTGAGTGACTGATGTTTCCACTGAGTTCATCCAACAGTTCAAGTCTAGTTTCATGTGTCCTGTGTTTTATACTCTCAGTTTCTCTCTTCATGTTCGAGCCCAGCACTGCTGCTCGTATCATCATCTGCTTGGTTGTGTCCATCGTGCCTGTTGTTGCAGTCGTCATTGTTGTGATGAAATGGGGACGAAACAAAAAAGGCAAGTCACAATTTCCTTCTTCGTTTTGTCCAAACTTCAAATTACTCACATCTCCTTCATTGTTTCATTCATCGTGGGTGTGAAGGGCTGAAACCACCTGACGTGATCTCAGCCTCAGTGTGACCCACTGCAGTATGGAACACTAAACTTGTTAGTGAGGGCATTAGCTCGCTTTAACATCGTCCTTTAACAACAGAAAGTCCCGATGAGTCCAGAGCTGCGCTGTCCCTCAGACTCAACAGCTGCAGCTTCACCACAGCTAACATCACTTTAAAAGCCTTTTCTTACCATGAGTAGCTTTGATGTCCAGTTTCACATTTAAATTAAACCTGAGTGTTTTTCACATTGTTGTTGATAAAGGTTACACCAATAACCCTAGCATCAAATGAGAACTGCTGTATTTCTCTGTTTTCATGTTTTCAGCGTAGGGCAACGCTGCATTAACCAAACAGGTTTGAACTTCAGACTAAACACACGTCTCTTGTGTTCACACAGAAACCACAGACCACAACACAGAATATCTGATGGTGGGAGAAGGAGACAGAGAGACGCCCATGACAGGAAGGGAGACTATCATATATCTGGACAACACAAAGGCAAAACTTGATGAGGAGTTACAGAAGACTGAGGAAGAACTGAAACATGTAAAACAGATGGTTGAAAAACTGACGAAGCAGAAGACTGATCTGAAGAACCAGACACAAGGACTCAACTCACTGCTGCAGGAGGACAAGGCACAGATGGTGGAGTGTGAGAAGAAACTGAGGGAGAAAACCAAAGTTGACAAAGAAGTAAAAATGCAGAAGCGTTTAAAGACACAAAAGGCTGTGGAGTGGAGAAAGAGAGAACATGATGAACTGTCACTGAACACACAGAAACTACTGGAGACAACAGAGCAGATGATTATTGAAATGTCAGAGAGGAAGGGAAAACTAGAGCGAGATAAAGAGCAAATAATGAAACACCTGGAGGTGACAGAGAGAAGGAGAGAAGAGGTTCAGAAGAAACTTCAGTCAGAGGGAGAAGAGGAAATGATAGATACAGCACCCAGTGATCCATCATGATTGGTTCACTTTACTTCCTGTTAACACACTTTGTTGTAGAGAACCTGAGGCGTCTTTTCAGGTCCTTCACCATCACCTGAAGCGTCTACCTGCTTATTACAAACACCTCCAGCTACAGTCTGAACACATGTTCCAGGTCAGGTGACTGAACAAACAGTAACAGACCACGTCATGTTGCCTGTTTTTGATTACACTGTGCTTTGATATTATCTTTGTGTAATTGTTGTAAATTCAGACGAGCTCTTTTCTTCATTAACACTTTGTACAATATGTGTGATTATGACCCAGAATGATTTGTGCTGCGTCAAAGTTCTTATAACCCATCTGTTCTTTTATAAAGGGTTAAAGTCAATATAATTAAAAGACATTTTAAACTGAATCTTACCCAGATTTGATCTTCTGTCCCAGTTTACTGTGCTGTTGTGTTTCCTTCAGATAAGATGATGAGATCAGCTCAAAGATGAAACTAGAAAACTGCTGATCTTCATCAGTCCATGTGCTGAAAGTCCTCCCAACATGTCCCAATAATCTGTAAACAAGACTTTCTGGCAGTCGCTGATGTTTAACTTTTGACCAATGCAGATATTTTTGTATGTTTTTTTAATCATTATTTCCTTTTTTAAAGATGTTTGTAAAGAATATGAATAATAAACCTTTATCATAATTACTGTGGAGAACATATATCTGTTCAGACATGACAGGCGCACCACAGGGAACCCTCTTTGTAGCTTGTTAATGCTAACGAGGGCTGTCACGCCTGATTGTGTTGCTCAGAGTTATGTTGATATTGGTCCTGATAAACCTCTGTGTTTCAACAGTTTCTCTGCTGGTCATAGTTCACAGCAGTTTGTGTCTCTTCACTGTGCTGTTCTGATCGTCTCAAACAGGACGGACAGACAGACAGGAGTATGTAGCTCAATAAAACACACAGACACAAAGGACGTTTACAGGATCGTATGCTCCTTCTACACTATCATTAACTGTGATACTATGACTATGACGCCAAATGCTGCAAGGCATGATGGTATATTTACTGCTTTATGACCTTGATCAAAGTCATTCATTAAACTCAACTATTCTCCTTTGTGTGTTCACTCTGCCACTCACCTTCACATGTGAGTGGGCAGTTCCCACAGTGACGTCGTCCCACTGGCCACAGCGCCATCAGCAGAGCCGCCACTTAAAAGGTGGAGAAAGTCCCTCAGTGATAAGTGTAAGTGTGTAAACATGACAGGCTTGATCGAGTCTCTGTGAACGAGACAGAAAACACACACAGTTTCTGCATGAGGCACGAGGCTGTTTCAGTGTTATGATGAGGCACTTTTTTTCAAATATAATTCACTGTTAGATATTTTAATAGCATACAGGCCGTGCTAACTTTATGCTACTGTTATGTTTTACTTCAAGCACTTCAATGGGACCTCTGGATACTGCACTGACAGCAGTGTCTAAACAATAAAAATTTAGCCAGCTGATCGAAGGAATTACTTTTTACAGCATGTAATCACATTTTAGAACGAGGTGGTGCTCCAGCCCATGAGTGTCCAGATTATATTAAATCATCTGGAGAAAATATCACTAACATTGATCTGATTTAAGATGGAGATCAGATTTTAGGAGAGAGCTGCAGCAGACTGAGGCTGAAACAGACAAGTCATCGTACAGTGTTGCTCTCCCTCACGTCTGGGGTGAAAGTTCATTTATGGTGTTTCACTGCGATCACGCAGCCGTCAGTCCTCCGTCAGCAGACGACAAACTGACTCCTGCGACAGGTACGTGAGCTTTTATGAATACACTTATCTTCTGTACTTATTTTATTCAAAGTTAACCAACATTTGAGCTAAACTGCCTCAAGAATAGTAAAATAAAACAGATAAGGGAGCGAGAGCTGATAAAAAGGCAGCTCCACTTCCTCAATGTGAACATACATCGGAAAACAACCAACAGCACTTTAGTTTTCTTTTTGTCAGTAAAAGACAGAATGAATTCTGCATTAGCTAAACGCAGCTGAAATATTTAATTCTCTTGTTTTACTGTGCTGAATTTGCCAAAAGTCATTTAGCCAGTGTGGCTCACAGTCACGTTTGACTCATGTGTGAGTCTGTGGAACATGAATGTGACAGATGAGCAGCACGGTGAAGAGAACAAAAACCTGCTTTTATAAAACAGTTGTTGGATCAGATCAGATAAAATCAGCAGGAAAAATTGTTGCCGTTGTTTATTCCTGCAAACCATGGATATGTCACATGTGTGCATCGTTCTGTAGAGCAGTGTTTCTCAAATGGTGTCCTGTGTGATAACCATACATGATTATAACAACACTCATCTGGGCCTGTACAAACAGTTATGAATGAATTTTAATAAACTGTGTCAGCATGTTGTGTTTGTTTTACTGTACGGAGCAAATTACAGCACAGCACCCTGATGCTAACGCTAACGCTAACGCTAACCTACCACTGAGAGAGAAGAGGAGAAAAGAATCCTGAAGCTACCTGTCTTATTTTTATTGTTTTATTGTATTTTATTTTATGTCATGAAGAGAGAGATAACACATGTCATATTGTGACACTGTGCACCAGTAGAGATACAGATGTACCTTCAGATTTTATGCTTCCCCTTTGGTGTGTCTTGGGCACACAAAGTTACCACTGATGTAGTGGATACGCATTGTGTTGTTATATTGTGGTCAGATTTAGGCACAAACACCACTTGTTTATGGGCAAAAGAAATGTTCTTTGGCTTAAAGTACCCAGCCCTGGTGCCACACTCCCCGTGGGACACACCCACTGTTTGTGCCACACTCCCAGCAGGAAAGGCAGCGACAGGTCTCTTATAGCAGCCATGTTTGGTGCCTAGAACGCTGCAGCAAACAGCAGTTATCAGCTAAATTATGACACATTTTGTTGTTTGATGATCTTGAATGGACGTCTGCAGCCTGACAGGCATCTTGCCGATGTGACTCGCCCTCCACAACCCCCTCCTCCACTGGATGACACAATCAGATCACTGCAGCACCTTAAGCTGGTATGAGTTTTTTTTATGTGTGAGATTGCTGGCTGCACAACAAATTGCCCCTCGGGGATAATAAAGTTTTCTTTGACCTTTGACCTTTGATGATACATATGATGTAACATATCTGTGATTTACAGAAACTGACAGACTTGGCTGTTTCCAGAACTCCAGGATGTTTCACCTGAAGGATGGACGATCCCCAAACCCTCAACTCTGTACCCTGAGTGTTTTAGTTTTCCACCACACTGTTGTCCTGCTGCTGCTAACACACTGCTCCGAAGGTAACTCACTTTGTATTTTGTGTTTAAGGTTAGAAAGTTTCGATCAAGTTAGAGGTTAGTGTGAATCTGACAGATCGGACTTTGTCTGCACAGGCTGTGTGACGGTCTTTGCAAGGTTTGCGAGGACAAGCAGGGCGCGCAATTCCTTGTCTCCCCAGTTGCTCATCTTTACAGTGTCTGTCAGGTTTGTGTTTCCCTCTTGCTACTAGCTGCTCGCTAATTCCTGCTATCAGCTGTTTCCTGTTTATCCACCGCCAGTGGCTCGCACGTGAAGCGTCATCAATAGCCCCTCCCACAAGTCATCAACAGCTCCTCCCACAAGCCATCAACAGCCCCTCCTACAAGTCATCAACAGCTCCTCCCACAAGTCATCAGCAGCCCCTCCCACAAGTCTTCAACAGCTCCTCCCACAAGTCATCAACAGCTCCTCCCACAAGTCATCAACAGCCCCTCCCACAAGTCATCAACAGCTCCTCCTGTTGCAGAAGGCCGCCTCGGTCTGTTTAAACCAAAGAGGTTCCACCAATATATCTACCCTACGAGGTGGAAAATTGGGCACCTCGGATCAACTCGCCAATGCGGCTCTGTGTGTCTAAACGCTCGCAGCTTGCCGGCAAAACGGCCCAACATTTGCCGAAAATCTGGCAGTGTAGAAGGAGCTAAAGAAAAGAAGACTGAAGCTTGTCCTGACACTAGTGTTGACAATGTGTTAGACACTGAACATAAATACATTCACTCTTCCTGCCATCATTAAATAACATCATGTCTTCTCAGGTGAGCTTCAGTTAATTGGCCCACGTCAGCCAATTGTAGCAGTAGTTGGAGATGACATCATTTTGCCGTGTCACCTGGAACCTGCTATGGATGTTGCTTCCACAGCTGTGGATTGGTCGAGACCAGACCTGACACCCAGATTTGTTCATGTGTGGCGCTCTGGTCACGAACTTCTGGGTGATCAGCATCCATCATACAGAGGAAGAACGTCAGTGTTCACTGACAGACTGAAGCACGGAGACATTTCACTGAAACTCTCCAGACTGCAGCTCTCTGACGGGGGCACGTACAGATCACAGGTGGTAACTGAGGTGACAAGACATTTGGACGGACCAGACATGCACTGGAACTGGTAAGAGGACTCAGGGGTACTTGGACTGATCACAGGGGTATTTGGGCCAACTAAAGGGCTGAGGTGTCATCTTGGAGAACTTCAGGTTCGTCCTTTAGAGGGGAAATGAATGACTAAAGTGCAGTTATTAGATTACAAACACAAAGTTTTAAAAAGAACATTACAATCAGCTTAAAAGGGCAGAATGTATCCTCACTAAGAAAAGTAATGTTTAACTGGAAAGGTTTTTCAGGTGCAGTGTCAAAGTTGAATCTGAATGAACTGAGGTATTTCCATGCTCGTGCCGATCTTACATTCAGAGCATCTTTTACATTTCTACTCTCCATCAGGCTCTGTCTCCTCACCTGACATAGAGATTTCCAAAGTCAGCAGTGGAGTGTTGTTGGTGTGTGAGTCTGCAGGCTGGTATCCAGAGCCTGAGGTGTTGTGGCTGGACGTTGAGGGAAACCTTGTCTCTGCTGGACCTCCAGAGACAGTCAGAGGTCCTGATGACCTCTATACTGTCAGCAGCAGAGTGACTGTGGAGAAGAGACACGGCAACAGCTTCACCTGTAGAGTCCAGCAGAGGAACATCAACCACACCACAGAGACAACTGTTCATCTTCCAGGTAGAAAACATGACGTGTGAGTGACTGATGTTTCCACTGAGTTCATCCAACAGTTCAAGTCTAGTTTCATGTGTCCTGTGTTTTATACTCTCAGTTTCTCTCTTCATGTTCGAGCCCAGCACTGCTGCTCGTATCATCATCTGCTTGGTTGTGTCCATCGTGCCTGTTGTTGCAGTTGTCATTGTCGTGATGAAATGGAGACGAAACAAAAAAGGTTGGTGGCAACTTTTTTTCTTTTTTCCTGAAGCTGAAATTACTCACATCTCTTTCATTGTTATGATTACATTAATTGTACTTGGAGTTGCTGAGAGGGGCTGAGACCCCCCTCAGCTAATCTTAGCCTCAGTGTCATCCACTGCAGCATGTATGAGGTGCCGATTGTAAAGTGGCTCACACTGAAATCAACACTTTGCCACATTTAGCTTCAAACAACATTTAAAAAAGTGGTGTGAATTTTTTAAAGTCACTATTTACCACATTTACAGCAATATCTTTCACCGTTAAATCTAAATATTAAATGTTAAATTTAATGTTAAAGTTAATTGTTAAATTTAAATATTAAAAATTAAATGTTAAATCTAAATGTTAAATGTTAAATCTAAATGTTAAATCTAAATCTAAATGTTAAATGTTACACTAAAAACTCAAAGTACACATCAAATTTCCCCAAACATGGTTTCTGTCATTTTAGGTAGTTATAATCACGCTGATGTTTGTTCAAGTGTTCATTTTCATTTCTTAGTTTGGTTTTAATTCGTTATTTGATGCTATAAACACAGTCTGACCACCCAGGCTTTTATTTTGGTACTTCCGGTGACCGGCAGTATGTATTTGCATATTAGCTAAATATTTAGTTTCACCAAGCACATTTAGATTTAACATTTAGATTTATATTTGACATTTAGATTTGATTTAACATTTAGATTTACACTTAGATTTAATGTTTAGATGTAGATTTAACATTTAACATTTAGATGTAGATTTAACATTTAGATTTAACATTCAATTATTAGATTTAGATTTAACATTTAGATTTATTCTTGGATCTAATGTTTAGATTTAGATTTAACATTTCGATTCTACATTTAACATTTAGATTTAGATTTAACATTTATCATTTAGATGTAGATTTAACATTTAACATTTAGATTTTACATTTAATATTAAGATTACATTGAACATAATTTAAATCTTGCTGTAAATGTGGTAAAAAGTGACTTTAAAAAATACACACAACTTTTTTAAATGTTGGGGTTTGAAGCTAAGTGCAAAGTGTTAATTTCAATGTGAGCCGCTTTACAAACAGCAGCTCATAAGAATGGAGCAAACAACTTGTTGGGTTCTAACTGGCTGATGAAAGTCACATGTCCTGAGATTAAAGGTCCAGAGCTGAGCTCAGAGGCTGCAGCTTCATCACAGCTAACACCAATGTTCTCTCTGCTCTTCATCCAAGATGAGCTGATTTAGACGTCCAGTTACACAGTTACAGTTTTATTTCATTGTTGTTGACAGAGATTCACAAATAGTCCCAACACCAAGCTACAACAACAACAAACAGCAACAACCTTTCATCAGCGTAGGGCAACGCTGCATTAACTAAACAGGTTTGAACTTCAGACTAAACACACGTCTCTTGTGTTCACACAGAAACCACAGACCACAACACAGAATATCTGATGGTGGGAGAAGGAGACAGAGAGACGCCCATGACAGGAAGGGAGACTATCATATATCTGGACAACACAAAGGCAAAACTTGATGAGGAGTTACAGAAGACTGAGGAAGAACTGAAACATGTAAAACAGATGGTTGAAAAACTGACGAAGCAGAAGACTGATCTGAAGAACCAGACACAAGGACTCAACTCACTGCTGCAGGAGGACAAGGCGCAGATGGTGGAGTGTGAGAAGAAACTGAGGGAGAAAACCAAAGTTGACAAAGAAGTAAAAATGCAGAAGCGTTTAAAGGCCCAAAAGGCTGTGGAGTGGAGAAAGAGAGAACATGATGAACTGTCACTGAACACACAGGAACTACTGGAGACAACAGAGCAGATGATTATTGAAATGTCAGAGAGGAAGGGAAAACTAGAGCGAGATAAAGAGCAAATAATGAAACACCTGGAGGTGACAGAGAGAAGGAGAGAAGAGGTTCAGAAGAAACTTCAGTCAGAGGGAGAAGAGGAAATGATAGATACAGCACCCAGTGATCCATCATGATTGGTTCACTTTACTTCCTGTTAACACACTTTGTTGTAGAGAACCTGAGGCGTCTTTTCAGGTCCTTCACCATCACCTGAAGCGTCTACCTGCTTATTACAAACACCTCCAGCTACAGTCTGAACACATGTTCCAGGTCAGGTGACTGAAGGCTCTGTGTTTTAGACAGGTTATTATTATTATTTCTCTTAATCGCTGTGTTAGTTATCAGGGATGGGCAGTCTTTCTATTACTTGTATTTAAAATACCTATTTGAGTATTTTGTAATTTGTATTTGATGAGGCAGATAAAAAGCAAATGTAATCTGTAACTAAATACTTTTGAGTGGAGTAATTTTGTATTTAAAATACTCAAAATACTTTCTTCATGAATCAAAAAACTAAAATAATAGGCTACACATTCTTATAATATTGGATGTAACAATATATTTTAATTATTAAATATATTTGTATCTATATGTTTATTTAAACTTGGGCCCTTCAATGACCTTGTGGTCTGTTTCAATGGACTGTGCATCACATAGGAAACTGTATGTTGTTGTGGTTGATGCTTGGGATGAGTCTGCTACAAATGAACTGCCTCACGTGGGATCAATAAAGTTGTCTGAATCTAAATCTGAATCAATCAATAATATTTCAGCGTAGCCTACATGTCCCTAGCTTTGTTCTCTCTTTTTCATTTGACAAAAGTTTAAATTCATTCATATGTTATCATCACAGTGTCTGTGAATATTTTATTTGTTGATACAAAAAAGTTTATGGGCTGTTAAGTCTGGTTAATAAATATACATATACATAATCAAGTTGTTGTCTTTTAATGGCTTTGCTTAGTTACACTTAGTTAGTCCTGTGACTGTTCACCAGAGCTTTGTGTTTATCCTACAGCTCAAACCTGAATACTCTGCTTCACCAAACTGGGAGAAAACAATTTGCAATAGCTGCGACCAAATTTGCTTCTATCACGCCATTAATGGATGAATCATGGTTGTTCTTTCTGGTATAGTTACTCATGGTCTCTAGTTGCAATATGTTCATTTTGAGCATTTTTGGTCAAGGACTTTTTGAGTTATTCACAAAAAGATTTGTGGACCGACCAACTGGCAGAGTGACCTATAGAGCTGCGGGTCGCTGCTACAAAGAAAAAGAAAACAGTTTTTTCTGTATTAGGGGTTGGGCCTCACTCTTCAAACCCACGTTGAGTCTCTCTGTCAAACAGAGATGTTGTGTCACTGCTGCAGCCTCGTCGGGCCCTTCAGCTTTATTCAGTCTCAGTCTGTGTGTGCTTTGTGTGTGTGGAGCCCAAATTGTCACCAGCACCTGCAGTGTGTAAAATATAACATAGAAGCAGACGACGCACAGCGCGGCTTTTAAAAATAGGTGAAGCGTTCATCTGTGGGTTTTGACCTTTGCTGCTCGTAACAAAGTCTGACAATAACCTCTGCAAGAGACACAAGACATCTACGACCCGTCTAATGAAGGCTGACACGCGTGTTCATGTTGCTCACAGCTGAGCTGAAACATCAGAGTCAAGCTGCATGAAAAGCAGATGGAAGTGAGTAACATGAAAACACTACAGCGGTGATGGTTTCCCAAACAGGATGAAGACATGGAATTGAAGTATCGACCAATTAAAAAACACCAACATATCACCTGGACTACATCATCTTATAGACTAACTCCGCCCTCAGTGTCCTCCGTCACTGACTCGCCTGTCTTGTTCACGGTGGCAGTCGTCTCTGCCTGTGAGTGTGTGACAGTGACAATTTGTGTGACTCTGAGTTTCCCGCAGTGGAGCAGTCCCACCAGCAGCAGCAGCAGAGCCACCATTACAATGCTGAAAGTGGTCCTTAAGATGAGGTAAGCGTGGCATGAGTCGTCTGAAGGGGGCGGAGTCTCCCTGGGAACTGCTGCCAAGACACAGAAAACACAACTGCATCATGCATGCTGAAAATATCCTTGAATTAAGCATCAATAGATCCATAAACATAAAGCTTTAAAACAAGTGAAGAGACAAACAAAAACAAACAGTGTGCACACAGCTGGAATAACAAGTGTTTGGTTCAACTGAGAAACAGACGAGGTCCGTCGATCGAACCTGGTTGGTTTACAGTCACGGACGAAACATGTTGAATTGTTGCTGTTGTAGCACGCAGCATGAAAAGGGATTTACTTTGGCTGTTGTTGTATGTTTCAGTGTTTAACCATGTCCCGGTCTATTGGTCACCTATCCTGGAATTAACTGATGTGTTTATGGGTCGAGCCTCTTCAAGAGAAGTCATGAGCACATTCATGAGAGTTTCTATGAGTACTGGGAAAATAAGATCCATGCTGAGCTCACACGTTTCCTCTGTGACTGAACCATTGTTGAGTTGCTGCCGTGCAACTTGGCTGTGCACACAATACACTCATGTTGCCATCTGTTTTCAGAGACCTTTCTCTCTAAGAGTAACCACTTGATACTTGATAAACCTCTTAGGACACAGAATATGAAATGTATTGTATTCAGAGCCAAGCTCACGCAATAAAAGAAAAACAGTCATGAAAAGGTTTTATCATGTCGTAATGTTGTCCTCAAACCATCAATATGTATTTAAATCTTGTCTCACCTCTGACAGCCAGCCAGCTCTGCGGCGACTCTCCAAACTCAGAGATGCTGCATCTGTAAAGTCCTTCATCAGATGCAGAGACACTGTGGACGATCATCTCTCCGGTGGAGCTGGTGCCGATCAGGAGGTCGTCTTTATAGAAATCAGCAATGAGGGCAGACGAGGTCGTTTTGCTTCTGCAGCACAGAGTCACAGTGTCGCCCTCCGTCACAGGGAGGACAGGACTCTCCAGGATCACTGAGCCGCCTGGACAAAATGAATCAGACACAATGTTCAAATGTCAGTTTGATCTGTCGATGTCTATGTCTGGGGGGGGGGGGGGTACAAAAAGTTTTTAAACTCATCATTAGGAAACACTTTACAGAGTCCCAATAAGTGAGCATACAAACACAGTTTAAACCTCTGAATATATCTGAATATATGAAGATATAAGTTTACAACATATATAAGATACCTATAGTTCAATCTACATATGTACTAAAGATATCTATACAATAAGCTCTTGTGTTGCTCATTTTTGACAAACCTGTCTTTTATATTTACATATTTTATGACCTGGATTGTAGTTTTGTGTTGATGATGACATTGTTTGGAGATTGAAAGGAAACTAGTCCATAGCCATTGGTAGCTTTGTCACCTTCTACCTATGCCAGTCCTCAATGCCTATGTGCAGTTTCACATAGATTGACCACGTCAGTGAGTAGAACACACACACACACACACACACACACAGTGTTTGTCATCATATAGTCAGATGCCAGTTATTTTATTTTATGCTTGTTTTGGTCTTTTAAGGACCAAGATGTGTGAGGTGCTAACAGTTTTCCATAAACATATAATGATGTGTTCTGAACTTATTTCCCAAACCTTCACTTCAACTTCACTGCACTTCAGAAATCTTGCAAAAAGAAGTCTACATAACTTGAAGGACGTTAATCATGAACATTTTATAATATGACTCAGTCCATTACCGGTGATGGTGATGTTGACGGCGTTGCTTCTCTCCTCTCCAGCCTCACACCAGTATTCTCCGCCGTCTGTTGAGTACAAAGGTTTGATGGCACAGCTGGACACTGGTGTCGTCAGCCAGGTGCTCACACACTCACCGACCTTTCCCTTTATCTTCCTCATGACGGTCCACCCAGTGGTGGAGTTTGAGCCCTGACAGTTGATGGAGACGGAGCTGTATTCAAAGACCTGCAGTTTGGTGGGAACGATCAGAGCTGAGACAGAGACACAGAGAGGACGAGACATTTAGACAAACATGTTCTCAGGACAGTCTGACCGTTAGCGCTTAGAGCTCTGATCAAATTGACTGAACTTTATAAATGCAGAGGGTGTCAAGTGTCATGAAGTCAACATGTTACTGGCTGCTACTCACCGTCCTGAGCTGAATTTAGGTGAAACTGTGCAAAGAGCAGCATCAACACTTTGATATCTGCAGAGATGAAAGAAGAGAACAGTGAGTATCAGACTGATTTTATTTCTGTAAGTAAATGCTATAAATGTTAATTCTCTGAATACAATATGAGCTCTGACTCTTGACGTAATAACAACATGACTTTTACAGTTATAAACTTATATTCTGTTGCTAAATGTCAGATGGAGATGACTCAGTACTCACACAGAGTGACGCAGAGAGCGGTGACCTCCATGTTGTCTTCCTGCCGACTGTCTGAACATCAGACTGAGGCACAGCTGAAGTTTAAAGAGTGTGAGCACTTCCTCTTCCTGTGTGGCTGGTGCTGATGCTGATGCAAGAGTCAGCTTGTGCTGAAGCGTAGATGAGCATGATGTTGTTAAATGGGGGGAATTAACAAACAACTAAACACTGCAGGTTCTGAGACTCACTTTGATTGAAAGACATGCAGCCGCCACACCAGGCTTTGGTCTCGCTACTCCTGAACACAATGACTCCGCCGTGATGTGAGGATGATGGTCATGAACGGTGAGCCTGGTGTCACTCTGAAGTCGTCGAAATCCAGCACTTGGGCAGCATCAGAAACCAACGGAAAAAGGCGTTTGATGTCAGCATGATATGTGGCTGTCTGAAGTCATAGCCTGGCGGTGTCAGGGGGAAATGCGGAGGGACGAGGACGAAGGTTAAGGCGGCGAAAGTTCGAGAAGGGCAGGCAGGAGGGGGTGGGTCAAACAAACACTGACTTTCGCCTGAGAGAGTGGTGTTTGTGTCTCGTAAGATTCTAAAGTCAAACTCTGTTCTTTTCTCCTAAACGTAACTGTGTGTGTGTCGGCTAAACGTTACCACGTGTGTGTGTTGGCTAAACGTAACCGTGTGTGTGTGTGTTGGCTAAACATAAAAACGTGTCTGTGTGTGTTGGCTAAACATAAAAACGTGTCTGTGTGTGTTGGCTAAACGTAACCACATGTGTGTGTGTTGGCTAAACGTAACCACGTGGGTGTCGGCTAAACATGACCACGTGTGTGTGTTGGCTAAACGGAACCACATGTGTGTGTGTTGGCTAAACATAACCACGTGTGTGTGACAGCTAAACGTAACCATGTGTGTGTCGGCTAAACATAACCACGTGTGTGTGTCGGCAAAACGGAACCATATGTGTGTGTCGGCTAAACGTAACCACGTGTGTGTGTTGGCTAAATGTTACCACGTGTGTGTGTCGGCAAAACGGAACCACGTGTGTGTGACGACTAAACGTAACCACATGCGTGTGACAGCTAAACGTAACCACGTGTGTGTCGGCTAAACATAACCACGTGTGTGTGTCGGCAAAACGGAACCACATGTGTGTGTCGGCTAAACGTAACCACGTGTGTGTGTTGGCTAAACGTTACCACGTGTGTGTGTCGGCAAAACGTAACCACGTGTGTGTGACGACTAAACGTAACCACATGCGTGTGACAGCTAAACGTAACCACGTGTGTGTCGGCTAAACATAACCACGTGTGTGTGTCGGCAAAACGGAACCACGTGTGTGTGTCGGCTAAACGTAACCACATGTGTGTGTTGGCTAAACATAACCATGTGTGTGTGTCGGCAAAACGTAACCACGTGTGTGTGTTGGCTAAACGTAACCACGTGTGTGTGATGGCTAAACGTAACCACGTGTGTGTGTTGGCTAAACGTAACCACGTGTGTGTGTTGGCAAAACGTAACCACGTGTGTGTGTTGGCTGAACGTAACCACGTGTGTGTGTTGGCTAAACGTAACCACGTGCGTGTGTCGGCAAAATGTAACCACGTGTGTGTGTGTGTGAGTTGGCTAAACCTAACCATGTGCGTGTGACGGCTAAACGTAACCACGTGTGTGTGTTGGCTAAACATAACCACGTGTGTGTGTCGGCAAAACGTAACCACGTGTGTGTGTTGGCTAAACGTAACCACGTGTGTGTGTCGGCAAAACGGAACCACGTGTGTGTGTCGGCTAAACGTAACCACGTGTGTGTGTTGGCTAAACGTAACCACGTGTGTGTGTTGGCTAAACGTAACCACGTGTGTGTGTTGGCTAAACGTAACCACGTGTGTGTGTTGGCTAAACGTAACCACGTGTGTGTGTTGGCTAAACGTAACCACGTGTGTGTGTTGGCTAAACGTAACCACGTGTGTGTGTTGGCTAAACGTAACCACGTGTGTGTGTTGGCTAAACGTAACCACGTGTGTGTGTTGGCTAAACGTAACCACGTGTGTGTGTTGGCTAAACGTAACCACGTGTGTGTGTTGGCTAAACGTAACCACGTGTGTGTGTTGGCTAAACGTAACCACGTGTGTGTGTTGGCTAAACGTAACCACGTGTGTGTGTTGGCTAAACGTAACCACGTGTGTGTGTTGGCTAAACGTAACCACGTGTGTGTGTTGGCTAAACGTAACCACGTGTGTGTGTTGGCTAAACGTAACCACGTGTGTGTGTTGGCTAAACGTAACCACGTGTGTGTGTTGGCTAAACGTAACCACGTGTGTGTGTTGGCTAAACGTAACCACGTGTGTGTGTTGGCTAAACGTAACCACGTGTGTGTGTTGGCTAAACGTAACCACGTGTGTGTGTTGGCTAAACGTAACCACGTGTGTGTGTTGGCTAAACGTAACCACGTGTGTGTGTTGGCTAAACGTAACCACGTGTGTGTGTTGGCTAAACGTAACCACGTGTGTGTGTTGGCTAATCGTAACCACGTGTGTGTGTTGGCTAATCGTAACCACGTGTGTGTGTTGGCTAAACGTAACCACGTGTGTGTGTTGGCTAAATGTAACCACGTGTGTGTGTTGGCTAAACGTAACCACGTGTGTGTGTTGGCTAAACGTAACCACGTGTGTGTGTTGGCTAAATGTAACCGTGTGTGTGTTAGCTAAACGTAACCACGTGTGTGTGTGTTGTTGAAGGAAAAAAAACATGAGTTGGTGGTGTTGTATTGACATAGTGCTTTTATTTTGAAAGAGACTGTATGAAACTGCACATTTCCTGTGTGCTACAGCACGTTTTATAACCATATCAGTGGTTCAACACCTTCATGTGAAATTATTTCAGGCTGCGTAAGATCTAAGTCACGTCACATCAAAACGTCATCAGCTGACCACAGTGAGTGTATTAAAGGCTGCAGCAGCTGTGTTCTTATAGACAGACGTGTGAGCAGACAGAGCGATGTGGTTTAACTGACAATAAACAGCTCGCTCTTTAAAAGAGACCCTGATGCTGTGAGACAGCTGAGAACCACAGCGGTCCATATTTAGAGAAGCTTTGAACACACACAGCTGTGATCAGTACAAAATCAATCACTTTACACACACTGACAGCTCTTTTGTTCTTCATCACAGGAGCACAGTCTTCCTGTACAACATGTCAGTAAAAACATGTCAGTCGTAATATTACACGTCTCTCCTTCAGCCAGACGTCTCTGCTGTCAGTGACCTGGAGGACACACACCAGCCATTCATTAATAAGAAAGGTTAGAAACAGGATGCAACTTTTTTTGCACTTAAAATCTTTTTGGATTCATGCTGAGGTTATTACTGTGGGTTTCATTTAGCCTTCTCCATGTTACATTTCTGCAAACTGCACATAGGGAGCAGTGTCACTGTGGATCTCACCTAGTCAATGGTGTAGTAGAAGCTGTTTTCATCAGTCGTGCACTGGTCTGTATCAGCTGAGGGAGGGTGGGTGTCTGGAGTCTCTGTGAAGCTGGATGCTGCTGCTTCTTCTGTGGAAACAAGTGAAACACTGCAGCTCGTTGGCGGGAAAATTATTTTTATTTATTCTTGAATCCAACTGTATAACTGCATGTTAGTGTCACCATGGAACAGAGGACCAGGGGGAAAGCTACCTCCACTTTGACTCATATAAGTCTACATGAACACGAGGAAGAGGTAAACTAAACCTGGACAGAAACCTGGTGGGTGTAGACGGAGGTCGAGGCCCTCTTGCACCACAGAGTGTTGGAGCAACGCACCGAGGCTGTTTGGTGAGATACGTAAAGAGCTGTTGATGCATGTGTGACTGGAGGCTGTGGGGGAGTTGGGCAGACCTGAGGGCCCCACATCTTTCTTTCTGTGGTTTGCTCTCACAGTTTGTATGTGACAAGACACCTGCAGCTGGTTGAACTCACACTGACCTTTACAGATACTGGACTGACGTCAGTCTGGGCTCTCAACCTTCTGTGTTTGACACACCGAGGCAGCACTGATTCAAACAGCTGTCGGAGGCATCAGCGTGCAGGGCGGTGAACTTAAAGAGTTGAGATGCATTATTGTGTCTTTATGTGTGTGACATAAAGTACCTGTGAAGGTGATGAATTCTGTGTTTGGAGAACACGTCATCATCTGTAGATGATTTATATTGATCACTTTGGACACTGCAAGAAACAAAACAGAGAAATAGGAGCATTTAATTTGGATTTAGTCTCAGAGGTGTTCATGCCAACCTGGTCTCACTCAGAAGTCATCGAAATCCAACACTTAGTCAGTGACGTCCAGTGTCAGAAACAACCTTTCATGTCGGCATGATTCACAGTCGGTCACCTTTATTGTGTAACAGTGACCAGCGGCCCCAGGGCTAAACGTAACCATGTGTGTGTGTCGGCTAAACGTAACCACGTGTGTGTGTCGGCTAAACGTAACCACGTGTGTGTGTGTCGGCTAAACGTAACCACGTGTGTGTGTTGTGCAGCAGACGGCTCAGAGGAGCGAGGAGTCAGCAGTCAAAGACAGTGTAAAACAACCATGAGAGGTCATCGAGCACACAGTCATTAATGTGCACACCAAATATTAGGCTGATTGGTCTGGTAGTTTGTGAGATTAGACAGACAGAAACACACACATACACATGGCTGAAGGCACCAATACATACATGCTCTGTGTTCTTTATCTGTGTCTGTTTCACCTGAGCGTGACCTTGACGTCGGCGTCTTTGGGGAAGCGTAGGACAACCCTGAAGATCAGAAAAGAAAACCTTTGCTGGTAAACTAGGAAACAAGACCCAAGAGTAGAGAGTAAAACACAAGTTGTATCTGTTGCTCAACATTTTCCTTCTCACCTCTGTGGTTTGCACACAGAGAGAGTGCCACCACCAGCAGAGGCAGAGTCACCAAGAAAATGGCCACGATGGTCCACAGCAGGAAGACACTGGGGGACGCACGGCGGGCAGGATGTGTGTCGTCATCAGGTGATGGGGAGACTGTTGAATTAAAACCTTTATGATATCGTCTTGTGACAAATCCTGTTTCAATATGTTCATCAGGGTGTTTGTTGTGTCTCACCTGTGACAGTCAGCAGGCTCTCTGCTGATTCTCCAACACCGATGATGTCACACTTGTAGAGTCCTTCATCAGACTTAGAAACACTGCGGATGGTCACGTTTCCCGCGTAGCCCGTCAGTATCAGGGCGCCATCTTTATAGAAGTCAGCTATACGGCCAGAGGTCGTCTCGTTCTTACAGCTCAGAGTCACAGCGTCTCCCTCCGGCACAGGGACAGCAGGACTCTCCAGGATCACTGAGCCGACTGAGCAACAAGAGGTTCAAAATTATTTCATGCCAACATTCACTTCTATACACCATTTTGCTGCCATGACAACAAGAACATTTGGTTCAGCTGATATGACATGAGGTACCAGCGACGATGATGCTGATGGTGCTGCTCCTCTCTCCGTCTGCAGCCTCACACCAGTACTCTCCACTGTCTGCTTTATAGGCATGTTGAATATAACAGGGTCCCCATGACTGATTCCACTCAGACGCACATATTGTGTCGACGCCCATCATCCTCCTCATCACTCTCCACTCCATCATGTTTTCAGATCCCTCACATTCAAAGGACAGAGAGTCGTACTCAAAGAACTGCAGCTTGTTTGGAACAACGCGGAGGAACACTCCACCTGGGAGTAAGACAGAGCAAATATTTATTTTAATGTGACTTCTCTCAACAAAACACAAGTGATTTGAAAGCACAGAAACAAAAGGTCACGCCTGATGGAGGAGACAGGAGGCGTCTGCTTTGTAAGAACAACTAAATTCTTTGGATGGGACTGAACGCTGCGTGTGCTCTGCCAACACGTTCTCATCCCAAGTCGTCACATAGCGTCTGCCTCCTCTAATCAGCTGACTGGCTGTTCACTCTACTAGTTATCCAGAGTTTTAGATCTGCTCTCTCCTCTGCTGCTGTCAGCTGTCATCCCTCCTCCACCCTGATCACCTCCAGCCATCGTACCCAGAGTCCAGGACAAGCTCAATAAAGACTCATTCTTCTACTCATCCACATCATCAACACTTCTCCATCTTCACCACCTCGACCACCACCAGCCTCTCCACCCCGGGGGAGTTCCCTATCCAACTATGGATCCATCACCCTCCTAAAATCAAACCAAGTCTACGAGGTCTAAAATACTTTCCACATGTTTCATTCTATGTGCACATGTTATCCGAATATTGCGGAGGGCGTGGCTCATCACATAAAGGTGTATAACATCTCAAGGGTTTCAACCATCACCACGCAACTTTGTAGGCATATGAGCACACATAATCTGAGGGGACCCCTCCATTATTGACCCCATCAAACAAAATGGGGGCGCTAGAGAGCTCATTTCTTATCTAGGCCTAACCGCCATATGGATTTTTACTAAACTTGGTAGATATGTAGAACAGGACGCCTCAAGGTGACTGGAGAAATTTAACTCTAATTGGCAACTGGGTGGCGCTATAACAACAGAAAAATGCTTCAAAATGGCTAAAATGCGACCGATCGCTGTGGCTCCCCCTGTGGACCAATGTTGGTGTTGTTTTCTAATGTTTGGTATGACTAAGTCATGGTATGGTATGCTGTACATAATCACAGAAACTGTCAGTGTGTCATTCTGTCAGTCAGTCATTCTGTCTGTCCCACGTTTTTCTACTCACTGAAGTAGTCAATCTATGTGAAACTGCACATAGGCATTGAGGACTGGCATAGGTAGAAGGTGACACAGCTACCAATGGCTATGGACTAGTGTTAATAGATATTCTTTTACTATTAAAAACGAGTCTCTGCTGATTGGACTGACGCCGTCCAGCAGTGTATCACACCAACACTACTGGTGCTATCTGGTTCAGGACTTGACGACTTGAGAATGAGAACATGCTGACTGCCCATTGATCACAGTGAGCACTTTTCATCATGAGCAGACTTTAATTTTAAAAGCATTCAAAGCAAAGAGGAGACACTCTGTATTGTTTCCTACAGAATCGTATCAAACACTTTTAGAAAAGGCAGATTTGAATCTATGGGCACACTCTGAGGGCCTGGATAGATTCACATGATAAAGTATACTTTGAATCAACCTTTTTCTGTCAGCTGTTAGATCTCTGAAGATTTGTTGACGTAGACTTACCAGCTGTGTCAGCACAGTAACAGTGCAGAAGCATCAACGTGCTCATTACTGGAGACACAGAGTGAAAGAACAGGTACGTTTGTATACAACATGATTTATATTTCTTATAGAGACAGATTGAGAGACAGACAGACTCAGTACTCACACAGAGTGACGCAGAGAGCGGTGACCTCCATGCTGTCTTCCTGCCGACTGTCTGAACATCACACTGAGTGACAGAAGCTTATTGTGTAGGTGAGGACTTCCTCTTCCTGTGCAGCTTATTTCTGGTGACCGACACACTAGAGTTAATCTGTGACACGAGCTGAACTCACCAGGGTTTGACTGGTCGAGCCTTGAAGCAGCACCAGAGCACAGAGTCACTTGCACGAGCAGCAAGCCAACACAGTGAGCTCATCAGGTAGATTATGATATGCAGACTGTTGTCACTGTCAGAGCAAACAGCCAGGCTAAGGTCCTGTCCAGACAGTACATCATCTCCATGTCAATGAAGCAGACTCAGCGTGCACTGTGATGCCGCAAAGGCTCAGAGACTGACTGAAGGAGCACGACGACAAGAGTTCATGTTACACCAGACCAAACCTATCCAAGAGGGAAAGTCCTGCAGGCAGAGCAGTAACCTGGAGAGATAAGCTGAAAGCATGTTCATACTGCAGGGCTGATGGGAGGTGTTAGGAACAGGTGAGCAGCAGGTGGTGAGTGGGGAGGGTCAGCTTTATATCCCGCATGATGGAGATGAAACAAACGCCACTTACTGAGCTCTGCAGAGACGGAGATCAACCTGCAGAGCTCTGCTGCTGTTCCTCATGATGTGAGTAGTTTAAAGGGATAGTGCACCCAAAAATAAAAATCCAGCCATTATCTACTCACCCATATGCCGAGGGAGGCTCAGGTGAAGTTTTAGAGTCCTCACATCACTTGCAGAGATCCAAGGGGAGAGGAGGTAGCAACACAACTCCACCTAATGGAGGCTGACGGCGCCCCAGATTCAAACGTCCAAAAACACATCATTGAAACCACAAAATATCTCCATACTGCTCGTCCGTAGTGATCCAAGTGTCCTGAAGCCCCGACATAAAAAGTTGTTTGGAAAAACCTCATTTGAACTGGTCAGAGTATCCAGTGAAGCATGCTGGCTTACAGACTGCAGAACCAGACCAGGTGTAGTGAACATCCTGGTATTTTTGGCACACTGTATCAGACAGACTCTGTGCTGGGACGTGCTGAATCTTTCTCTGGCGTGCTGTACAGCGTGGTAGCATGGGGTCTTTATCTCCTTCTGTCTCACACACACTCAAACATGTGACAGGCCTCTCCTGCCCTCTGCAGTGATCAGACACACATCACAGTTAATCACACAGGTCGACTCCACTTCCCTGTTCCACTCATGACGTGTGTTTAATATCCTGCCGCCAGTTACTGTCAGAGTTGAGTTGCAACGGTTTGTGTATAACCATGTCACACCTTGTCAAACAATGTCATGTGATGTAAAAGTCTAAATTAAAAAGAAAAGGCAGATTTGTCATTGAGTTCTTTGCCAGAATAAAAACTGACTCTCTGCATTGTGACTGTGTTTATGACCTGTAAGGAAGCACATTCCCAGATATGACTGCAAACACGCCCATACGCACAGTATAAGCGCTCAGCCAGGGTCAGAGTCCACAATCATTGTATCTGTGCGGCCGAGGCGTTCCTTGAGACCAACTACAGGTATGGAGCTCATTAAATGAGAAATATGTGTTTTAGTTCCTGATTTTAGAAACATTTTATCTTCATTCATAAGGTGACTTTTACAGTGACATCTACAGTCAAGTGTGTGCAGGTGAAACAGCTGTAGGGACATCTTTTAAAAGACTTAGACAAATGCACCGGCAGGCAGTGTGACGCAGGGGGACTGGTGTGAGGTCAGAGGAAACAGTAACGGTGGGTTGGGGGCAACAGGCAGGTTGAGGGCTCACATGTGTCGCCCTGTTCTCAGAGACAGAATCTGTTAAAGTTACTGATTGGTGCACGTTTATGTCTTCTACACTTACACTGCATTAGATTAGATTAGATTAACTTTATTCATTCATTCAGTGTGTGTCTCTAGTTGTGTTCTTGAAGCGTTCTCATTCGTTAGCTAACATGTTTAGTGTGAGTTATTTCTCAGGACATTTTGAACAAATCATGTCTCTAGACAAAAATGGTCGTTTGAGAAAATGATCTATTGAATTATTATTATTATTATTATGTAAAACTTTGACAGTATTTAATGTTTATTATTAGGTTATGTTTTTGCCAGCATTGGTCTGTTTGTTTGTCTGTTTGTTTGTCTGTCTGCAAAATAACTCAAAAAGTTCAAAATAGATTTTGATGAAATTTTCAGGAAAAGTGGATAATAGGACAAGGAACAGATGATAATAAATTTGGAGGTGATCGGTTGAAGCAAAGTGGATACAATAATAAAATAGCGCTAAACAGCACTTTGTATTCACCGAGGTTTAGAATAGACTCATTCCATGACCAGACGTGTGCCACCAGATGGCAGTGGCGAGTAGGCCTACTTGGGCTCGTCAGGAAGGGGTCATCCCTATGTTTCCCGGGTTCTATGGTTCCCGGTCAACCAAAAAGGGCTCTATGTTCCCTGCTTCCCAGGAAACATAGAACCTTTTTTGCAGGGTTAAGTGGGGAACATAGAACCTGGGAAACATAGAACCTGGGAAACATACATACGCTCCCGTCAGGAATACATAAAGTCTATCATCTGACTGAATGGGGGTTTTCCTGACGGGAGCGTATCTATGTTTCCCAGGTTTTATGTTCCCCACTCAACCAAGTGAGAAACATAGAACCCTTTTTAGTTGAGCAAGGAACATAGAACCCGGGAAACATAGAGATGAGCCCTTCCTGACTCAATGACACGGTATGTACAACAAGCTGCTGTTGATTAAAACTGCCTCACAACTTGATGTTTTGGTCATGCACATAACGTTGGCGACTGATAAATGTTAGCGGTTAGTGAAAGTTAGCCAAATGTTAGCGATAACCTAACGTTTAACGTCTGCACTCTCTGAGGCCTTTTCTAGTTAGAAGAGTTTTTGAAATTCTTATCAGGATGTGACAGAGTTTTTGTTTCTGAGCAGCTGTCAGAGTCGACCGTTACATCATTTCAAATCAAATCAAATCAAATCACCTTTAGTTCATTGAACTCGTCTTAATTTGTAATTTTTTATTTTAATTCTGCTTGACTTCGTGACAACCTGAAGCGTTCTCTTCGTGCCATAGTGACATTAATTCAAATTAAAATCTGCTATGACACGCTGTGGGGATGAAATCTGTTATAGACATAAAACATTTGAGGCTCCTCAGGTCCAGACCACTGACGGTGAACCATCAGCCTTCAGCTTTAAGACTGCTGAAAAATCACCTCATGTTTGAGTGAAAGAAACAAACTGTCAAGTGTTTTACACAAAACTAAATGTTTTTAATTTACTTGTTTATGGCTGTTTTCAGGATGTTTCACCAGTGGAGTGGACGAGTCTCCGTGTCTCATCTCAGTGCCGTTAGTGCTTTGGTTTTTCTCCTTCTGACACACAGCTGTGAAGGTACGTGACACACACACACACACACACACACACACACACACACCTGGAGCTAAAGATAAAGGACATGGTGAAGTTAATCCTAAGTGGAGCCACACGTTACAGACAGAGCAGTCTGCAGAGGAAAACGTCGGCATCGTACGTTTCTGCACTCCACAGATACATTTCCATGTTTCATAGGCATCACATCAGTGTTCCTACAGTGACGTAGTATATGAGCCGACTTTGTCATGAGGGGGTGGAGGGTGGAGGATGACGAGGCACCTGGGAAAGATCCCTGCTAAGCTCCAGATCGCTTCATGACTCAAAAACACAGCTGAGTTGTGAAAACAGAAGTGTTCACCTGGCAACAATCCAAAAGGCGAGGTCAAGAAACACAAGCGAAGGAAAGGGTACAAAAATAAAGTGGCAGAGGGAGCAGGAAGTACTCAGGCTGCATACACACGAGAGGTGAGGACAACTGGGCACAGGTGCAACACAGGTGCAACACAGGTGCAACACACCAGGGCAGGGCCGACAATCTCAGAGGCGGGAAACACACCAGGACAGGAAGTGGGGATCTGAAATGAGACTAACAAAATAAAACAGGAAATGAATCTGAATGAAAAACACTGAGACACGAAGCTACAGACGCTGCTCACACAAACTGCTGCTTTCTGCTGCTGCTTTCTGCTGCTGCTTCTTGCTTCCTTCCTGCTGCTTCCTGCGTCCTTCCTGCTACTTCCTGCTGCTTCTTGCTTCCTTCTTGCTGCCTCCTGCTGCTTCTTGCTTCCTTCTTGTTGCCTCCTGCTGCTTCTTGCTGCTTCCTTCGGTAGGTGGGTCACCCACAGAACCATAAACTACTTTAGCCACCAAGAATATTTTGGCTTCATCCCAACACCAACTTTAAACAGTAGATGACCAACATTAATTTTGTCTTGTGACACTGGGGAGGGGAGATAGGCAGCAGTTAAACATAGCCCTGTGTCTTCCTCAGGTGCTTCTCAGATGATTGGCCCTTCTAAGCCAATACTGGAGATGGTTGGAGATGATGTCGTTTTGCCATGTCACCTGGAGCCTGCTGCTGATGTTGTTGCAAAGACGCTGGAGTGGGCCAGACTGGACCTGAACCCCAGGTTTGTCAACGTAAGGCGTGACGGTGTGGCGCTCTTGCAGGATCAGAACCCGTCCTACCTGGGGAGGACATCACTGTCCACTGACAAACTGAGGCAGGGAGACATTTCACTGAAGCTGTCCAAAGTGAGACTCTCTGATGAGGGAAAGTACAGGTGCCACATTCCAAACCTGGGGACCTCTACGGCCGAGCTTATTGTCGGTGAGTGGACGTCAGCTTCCTTTGAATTTCAGTTCAGTAGATCAAAACTGATACGACTGATAGTTATTGTCCTCTCTCTCGTTATCAGGTGCGTTTTCCTCTCCGGCTGTCATCATAGCAGAGATGGACAGAGCCGGCAGCAGAGTGGTGTTGGAGTGTAAATCTGCAGGCTGGTATCCAGAGCCTGAGGTGCTGTGGCTGGACCGTGAGGGAAACCTCCTCTCTGCTGGACCTCCAGAGACAGTCAGAGGTCCTGATGACCTCTATACTGTCAGCAGCAGAGTGACTGTGGAGAAGAGACACGGCAACAGCTTCACCTGTAGAGTCCAGCAGAGGAACATCAACCAGACCAGAGAAATAAATCTTCAGATCACAGGTGAGATTACAGCTGACTTTGTTTGGTCCGAACAGCTGAATTCTGCCTGCATATGAATATAACGTCCTGTGTGTCTTCATTTCAGAGGACATCTTAGAGGTCCCATCTTGCACTGTGCGTGTCATCATCATCTCGTCTGTTTGCGTCGTGTTCTCCTGCATCTGTGCAGCTCTCCTTGTTTTGGGGAAACTGAGACAAAACAACGGCCGTGAGTTATAAATTTGATCATCTTATTTCTTAATGTCATTTACCATCATCATGCACAGACTGTTGTAGCAGAGGTGTTCCCAGGAGTAATTGAGTTCATGCTGAAGTCACTGCATTACCAACACCAGGAGCCAATGGGCCCCAGGCCCTCACACCTCTCCGACACAGGAGCGAGACACACAAACTTTATACTTGTTCAGCCTCTCTTTGTGTCTCTCTGTGGACGGTTTGTCATGTTGTGTAGTTGTTTTGGATTTACTCACCTTTACTCGTGTTTTAGTTTGACCACAAGGTCTTTGTTGTGCCTCTCTGTCATGTTAAAGTCATAAATACAGCAGGTTTCAACTCTTAATGAACAGTTTCCTTCCTGTGTTTACAGAAAACAAGCACTGTGACAATGAAACTGTAGATGGAGCAGCAGAAGGAGAGCAGCTCCCCAGCACGAAGGATTTGATAGATGAAAAGTTAGAGGAAAAGAAAGACATGGAACATGTGATTAGAGCACTGATGGAAGAGAAGACAGAGCTGGAGACCTCCAGAGACAAACTGAAAACTGAGCTGGTGAAGGTGGAGGAGGAGAAGAAGAAGAACGAGAAGAAACTCGATAAATTAGAGAAACACTTTGATGTGAAGAAACAAGAGAAAAAGTTACTTCTTTCACAGAACAATGTGGAACTGGACAATAAAAATCTAGAATATAAGGAATCTCTACAGAGAACTAAAGAGAAACTTGAGAAAACAGAGGACATGATCCAGAGAATAACAGAGTGGAAGAAGAAGGTAGAAAAACAGATTGAGCAAATGAAGAAACGACTTGAGGAGACAGAGAGAGGAGCTCCAGGTCAAACATCAGTCGGAGAGGTCGGATAGAGAGGTGACACACACACATACAGAGAGTCAGTCCTCTCAGCCTGACTGCAGTTAATCAAAGGCTCCTGTGACAAAACATTTATGTCATGTAGAGACAGCTCTGACTGAAACTCATCCTGACATCAGAGTCACTGTATTCAACAGGAGACACAGTGACAGAAGACGTCAATCAATCAATCAATCAATCAATCAATCAATCAATTTTATTTATAAAGCCCAGTATCACAAATCACAATTTGCCTCACAGGGCTTTACAGCATACGACATCCCTCTGTCCTTATGACCCTCACAGCTGATCAGGAAAAACTCCCCAAAAAACCCTTTAACGGGGAAAAAACAGTAGAAACCTCAGGAAGAGCAACTGAGGAGGGATCCCTCTTCCAGGACGGACAGACGTGCAATAGATGTCGTACAGAACAGATCAACATAATAAATTAACAGTAATCTGTATGAAAGTAATATTATAGTTATAGTTCTGGCTACTGTGGTACAATATGTTGAAAGTATGTATTAATATCTGACAGTATACATGTGTGACAATAATCATATGTGTATAATAACAGTAGAAATATGACTAATGACTAATAATGGCAGCAGCAGCAGGAGGCATCTGGCAGGACCACGGCAGCAGCACAACCACACACGTCACGCTGTCCAGGCACCGCTGTGATATGAGTTAATCTGAGAGACAGTGGAGCACAAAGGCTCCGGAGAAGAAGCTGAGTTAGTGACATCCAGAATGGCCGAGTTAGCAAGATGCAGTAATAGAATACGAGAGAGAGAGAGAGAGAGAGAGAGAGAGAGAGAAGGAGCCCGGTGTATTATAGGGGGGTCCTCCGGCAGACTAGGCCTAAGTCAGCCTAACTAGGGGCTGGTACAGGGCAAGCCTGAGCCAGCCCTAACTATAAGCTTTATCAAAGAGGAAAGTCTTAAGTCTAGTCTTAAATGTGGAGACGGTGTCTGCCTCCCGGACCGTAACAGGAAGATGATTCCACAGGAGAGGAGCCTGATAGCTGAAGGCTCTGGCTCCTGATCTACTTTTGGAGACTTTAGGGACCACGAGTAACCCTGCGTTCTCAGAGCGCAGTGTTCTGGTGGGATAATATGGCACTATGAGCTCTCTAAGATATGACGGAGCTTGACCATTTAGAGCTTTATAAGTTAACAGTAGGATTTTAAATTCAATTCTGGATTTTACAGGGAGCCAGTGCAGAGAAGCTAAAACAGGAGAAATATGATCTCGTTTCTTAGTTCCTGTTAGTACACGTGCTGCTGCATTCTGAATTAGCTGGAGAGTTTTTAAGGACTTACTAGAGCTACCTGATAATAGAGAGTTACAGTAATCCAGCCTTGAGGTAACAAAAGCGTGGACCAATTTTTCTGCATCTTTTCGGGTCAGGATAGGCCTAATTTTCGCAATATTACGCAGATGAAAAAATGCAGTCCGTGAGGTTTGCTTTAAATGAGAATTAAAAGACAAATCTTGATCAAATATTACTCCGAGGTTTCTTACGGTAGTGCTAGAGGCCAGAGCAATGCCATCTAGAGAAACTATGTCATCAGATAAAGAGTCTCTGAGTTGTTTGGGGCCAAGAACAATAACTTCAGTTTTGTCTGAATTTAACATCAGGAAATTGGTGCTCATCCAATTTTTTATGTCTTTAAGGCAGTTATGGAGTTTAGTTAATTGATTACTTTCTTCTGGCTTCATCGATAAATACAACTGTGTATCATCCGCATAACAATGGAAATTTATAGAGTGATTTCTAATGATGTTACCTAAAGGAAGCATATATAGAGTAAATAGGATTGGTCCGAGCACAGAACCTTGCGGAACTCCAAAACAAACTTTGGTACGTAAGGATGATTCATTACGAACGTCAACAAACTGAAAACGATCAGATAAATAAGATTTAAACCAGCTTAGTGCAGAACCTTTTAGGCCAATTAAGTGATCCAGTCTCTGCAGTAGAATTTGATGGTCAATTGTGTCAAACGCCGCACTAAGATCTAATAAAACAAGAACAGAGACGAGTCCTTTGTCTGAAGCAATCAGAAGGTCATTTGTAATTTTAACTAGTGCTGTCTCAGTGCTATGATGCACTCTAAATCCTGACTGAAATTCCTCAAATAAATGGTATTAAAGGTGAGGATCGTTCTCCCTGATTCTATGACCTGTGAGGAGAAAAAGAAATTAAAAATGGAAAATGGGCATGTTGGTGTTTGGATGTGTCGCCTTCAGGAAGATCCTCAAAACAAGAGCTCACGTTCAGTCGAGACGAACAAACATTTGCAAAGCTTCTTTTTGATGATATAAAATCATAATTTCTTCTGTCACTGTTTTCGTAAATATGTTATTGTGATGTGTTTTTATTTTTAATGGTTTGATTTTTTCACTGAACAATGTAACTGTGTGAATTATATATATGCTGTATGTATATATATGTATGTATATATGATTTTACTCGTTCTTTAAACACTATTTCTACTGATTGTATTTCAGGATATTACATTTTTTGTACCACATTTTTCACGATCAACAATGTCTTTACATTTATGCTGTTTTATTGTGAGAATTTAAATATGGTGTGAAGTTATTCTACGTGCTTTGTCTCAGTTATGAAAACACTGTTTTAATAAAAATGAAAAAGGAAAAGTTGATCTGGTTGTTGTTCCAGCTCGACACTTTAGTTTGAGACACGATGAATATTAGTGTCAGTCTGTTCTGTAGCTCTGTTGATAGCCAATCAGCATTCAGCGTTAATGCTCCATATAGCTCCACGATGGGTTATGATGCACAACAGGATTTGGGAGGAGCATGATGGGATGTTGATCCAGGAGCAGGTCCTGCTGGGCAAAATCACCTCGTGTAGTTTGTGACGTCTCCTGTGTCTCGGCCAAAAAGTTGCACCTGAACACACCATGAAAACTGCAGCCAATGGCCAACTAGCATGTCTGTCTGCACCTGTGTGAGAGGAAATAACTCTCCACAGCAGAGCTGAGCTGAACTGACAATCAGACTGATTTCTTTCTCAGCAGCAATAAAACAATAAACAACAATGGTAATAAAATACATAAACCCTGGGAGACAAAGTGCAGGTTGAACAGTCATATTAAACGATCACAGAAGGACGATAGCACTGAGAAATATATTCAATGTTCATAAATGTTTTTTCTATAAAAGGAATTTTTAAGGTGGGATTTAAAAGATGGTGACGATGTGGCTCAGCTCACCTTCAGTCACCAGCTGATCTAAGGACACGCCCACCGTCCAGGCACCAAGAGGGTCAATAAACATGGCTCAAATGGTAAATGGACCTGCTCTTGTTTAGCGTCTTTACACTACGAGTCACATTCACAACTGCTGGTCGATTCATGGACGACCTGCTTGACCTCTGCCGCCCCCATCAACAGTCGACGGTCGTGTCGGTGTGTCAGGGACCTTTAACGTGGTGAAGCTGCTGTGTGAAACCTGCAGGTTGGACCTGTGGAGACTCATCAGACACAGGTGAGACACGGTTTATGGCTGTGAGGATCCTGTTTCATATTTACACTGGCTGACATGTTTATGTGCTGCAACAGCAGTCAGTGTAATGTGGCTTTATGAGTTTATCACTGAGATCAGGTCTGGAGTTCATCGAGATAAACCTGTTGCTGTTAGAGGACGCTCATGGCGCTCAGCTGCAGCACAGCCACCACTGAACAGGTGAGTTATCATTAGATGTGATGCTCTGTTTATCACAGGGGTAAAGTCCACTCTTGTTCATTTGAGCAGCAGCTCAGAGCAGGAAAACACCACAGCAGGTTTGAACACTTTTATTTACATATCTGTGAGTGTTTCTACTGACGACTGACGCAGGAGAGTGTGAACCAGTGAAGGCAGCGACCTCCTCCTTTTTCCTTCTCCTCCTCCTCCTGAGCATAAAAGCAGAGTAAGCAGCTGGTCTTCACATCAGAAGCTTTCATTCACCTTCATATCATCATCCTGGAGAGCAGCTGGTAACAGGTGATTTCTCTCCAGTTACAGAGCTCCAACATGTTTCACCTGAAGGACAGACGCCACTTTGGCCTCCAGCTCAGCTTCAGCAGTCGTAGTTTTCTGTCACGCCGTCGTCCTGCTGCTGCTGCTGCTGCTGCTGCTGCTGCCATGCTGCTCTGAAGGTGACTCACACACAGATAAGAACATGATGATGTCATAACTCATTCAGTTAGTTCTTGCTGTGAAACCATACATGTATTCTCAGGTCAGCCTCTCCTGATTGGTCCATCTAAGCCTGTAGTTGCAGTAACTGGTGATGACGTCATCTTGCCGTGTCACCTGGAGCCAGCTGCGGATGCTGTTTCGATGTCCATGGAGTGGACACGACCTGACCTGAAACCCAGGTTTGTCCATGTGAGACATGGAGGTCAGGACCTGCTGGAGAACCAAAACCCGGCGTACGAGGGAAGAACGTCAGCGTCCATCGACCGGCTGAAGGACGGAAACGTTTCACTGAAACTCTCTGACGCAGGAACATACAGATGTTTCTTCCCGTTGTTACATGGAGACACTTTTGTTCAGCTCATTGTTGGTAAGTGGTGCACACATGTTTGTTGTTTGTTTGTTTGATCATCATCATTGTTTTTCTAGGTGTGACTCTCATTCTTCCAGTTGTGCACATTAAAATCATTGTGAGCATTATAATGTTAAATCTTAACATGCTCTCAATAATTTTAGCATTGAACGTAGCATAGTAGCATTAGCATTTTAACATGCTAACTGTCGACTGCTAACTCCAGTGCTATGCTAATATCACCATCAGTGTGTTTGAACTATTTCATATTATTCTCCAGGATCTTCAGACACAGGTCACAGCTTTACAACAGATATCCAGTTAGAGTGAGACTTCTTTCTCCCGCCGCCTCTTTGAACCCAAATTTGACCCCCTAAACATGCTCAAACACTCTCCAAAATTGGCACGCTTGTCAGGACTGGCGAAAAATTTGATAAAATTAAAAAAATAACCTCTAAAGTGCCAAAATGGCCTCTCTAGCCCCACCTAGACACACAAAAATGGCTGCTGCAGCCCGTAGGAATGTCGTAGAAAGATCAAACCAAAACTGGCTTGTTCGTCTCATCAAGACCTACAAATCGCACACTGACACCCCTGATCTAAACCAAACAGGAAGTGAGCTATTTGACCTTTCACAGTAAGATTTTGCCTCAAAAATGTTCTTTTTCAAAAAATATCTCCTCCTAGACCGTTTATTGTATCGGCTTCAAACTTGCACACACAACAGCTCAACCCCTGCTGAACAACACCTCTGAATAACTTTGTCATTACTCAAACGGTTTGGATTTTATGGGCTCTTAAAGTTGACGTGACATCTTTGAAAGCTGTCCCATAAGAAATGAATGGAAAAAGGGACCAATCATTGGGCTTTGTCGAGCCTTATAGAGTCTCCATACTTTGTGCTACAGACTCCATTCCAACTCTCAAATGCTGCCACAGGTACATACATTATATATCAGTGTTTTCCATCTCCCACACACACACACACACACACAGCCTTTATTACTGATAATACTGTTGCTGCTTTTGTGATTTTGACTGTTAAATACATATTGTAACATACTGTAATATAAAGTCCCTCTATTGCCAAAAATGACCCAAAAATGACCTTGCGTTCTCTTGACATTGCTTATTTTCTCAACATTTTGACTCTTACGAATAATTTGCACTGTCTGCGTGAGCTGGAGGCCGAAACAGCGAGAGTCCAAGGTCCCGCCCAACACTGCTCACAGCTTTAATTTGAGTTTGAGTTTGACAAGAACAACGGTGTTTATCACAAAACCCTGATGGGATGTTTAGACTCACAACAAGACAACACAGCTTCAGTTTTCTTCAGTAGATTCATGACTCAAACTGTGCGTACGTACAAAGACAGATGTATGCATGCAGATTCTCTTCGTCAGACTGATGGAGCCGTGCATACACCTGATTCTGATTTAGAAATCTAGATCATTGTGGCGCCGGGCGCACGAGCACGAGCACGAGCACGAGCCTCATGTCCACACCACAGTTGGCCATAATTAGAGATGCCCTTGAATATCTGTTTGTTTCCCTACCAATACTTGTGTCCCCTCATTATTTACTAGACATGTAAATGAGAAATATAAAGAGGAATCTCAGCGACTGTGTTGGATCACCGAGGTTCTCCAGCGAGGCATCATCACACTCTGGACTTTGAAGCGTCTGTACTAACTCATCTCGTCTGTGTCAACTCTTAACTCAATGCCCACCTTCCCTCTGCTCAGGTGCCGTCTCCTCACCTGTCATAGTGAGTGTCAACAGAGTCAGTGACAAAGTGGATCTGCAGTGTGAGTCTGCAGGCTGGTATCCAGAGCCTGAGGTGTTGTGGCTGGACGGTGAGGGAAACCTAATCTCTGCTGGACCTCCAGAGACAGTCAGAGGTCCTGATGACCTCTATACTGTCAGCAGCAGAGTGACTGTGGAGAAGAGACACGGCAACAGCTTCACCTGTAGAGTCCAGCAGAGGAACATCAACCACACCACAGAGACACACATCACAGTTTCAGGTGAGGAACTGTCTTACTGACTTTGTGAGCTTTGAACAGCTGAATTCTGCCTGCACCTGAATATAACGTCCTGTGTGTCTTCATTTCAGAGGACGTCTTCGCAGCCCCGTCTTCTGCTGCTGTGCGTGTCATCATCATCTTGTCTGTTTGCGTCCCGCTCTCCTGCATCTGTGCAGCTCTCCTTGTTTTGGGGAAACGGAGACAAAACAAAGGTCGTAAGAGTCACGTTACCTGAATCTAAATGTCACTAACTAGCTCCTCCCAGAGTTCCTGAGATAATATATGAGGATATGTGTTAAATAATAAATGAACAGGTTTAATGAACATGTTTGTTCAGGTTATTATTTTATCACCAGCTTTTACCTCAGAGTTCAGTTTAATATTTAGCATCATTTCTCTGCTGTACTTTGTGTCTCCTTGAAGTCGCTCTGTTCTGTTTAACGCTGCAGAACGACAGTAGTTTGGATTTTCTCTTCAACAGTTTCCTTCCTGTGTTTACAGAAAACAAGCACTGTGACAATGAAACTGTAGATGGAGCAGCAGAAGGAGAGCAGCTCCTCAACACGAAGGATTTGATAGAGGAAAAGTTAGAGGAAAAGAAAGACATGGAACATGTGATTAGAGCACTGATGGAAGAGAAGACAGAGCTGGAGACCTCCAGAGACAAACTGAAAACATATATCAATATTCTGACTGTTTTTTTATTGTGAAGTACGACTGTGACTTTTCCTTACTAAAGACAAGCTGCACAATGTGACACCAATGATAATAATAATAATGATAATAATAGTATTAATAATTCTGACACAATGGACAAGGTTTTAAGAAGTGTGCAACACTTCTGTATCATTTTTTTGTGAAACTTAAAATGTCTTAAAATGTTAAGTAAATACATTTTTGCCTTGCCATCGTCAGAGATTAATTAACGTATTTCTCTTAATTTTTTGTTGTTCTGTATCAAGCCACAGTGGTCTGCCCTGGTCCCTGAGTGAGGGCTTATTTGATTGATAAGGAATAACTGAACAAAAGCTTGACTGAACAGATTGTTGTTGCTTGAGAGCTTCAGGATTGGCTGTTGCAATAGGTGGTATGTTTTGTTCATGATGTTTCCACAGCATGTGTATGAATTTATTCTATTTCTCCAAACACTGGTTAGCCGCTGGAGGGAAGCATGGAGCTATAACTGATCTCACACTCGAGGTTATTTACTGAACACACTGTACCTGTGAGGTTTCATGCATCTCTCTCTTTTTGACACTAAATAATTATGGTGAAATAAAATGGAATAACTTGGATGTGTGACCCTGCACTGATTCTACATCTTATAAATATATAATGGGGAATATATGAACTCCAACAAGGCATCACATTACAGGATGATTATCTTACCGTCTCATTGTGGGTACAGTGTGTCTGCCTCAGGTCAGGCTGAGTTTACACCACAGTGAGAGGCTGCAGCAGTGTGTGAACAGCACATGATCACTGTGGTCAAACTGTTTCATTATGCAAAACCACCCCCTTTAAAAAATGGACTCAGTGGACACTCAGATAGATGGTGATGATGATGATGATGATGATGATGATGATGATGATGATGATGATTGAGAACCACACCAGTGGACGCAAAATGCTTCCAATTACAATTTGATTTTCAAATGCTTTTTAACTCATTTTCCTACAGGATTTCTCAGAAAAATCTGGAAAAATCTGACACAACAATATGTAATTTACAGCTGATATATTTGATCTGTACATTTTGCAAAGCTTTTACTGAAGCAATTAGCACACCACAAACTACACAACCAGAAAAATACAAACCAAAAGCATCATGACAGCATGGAACATTTTTGCTAAACTGTCGTGGGGTTCTATTTCAAAACTCCTAAAACACAGGTGTAGTCAGAAAAATATTGTGATGGTGTGGTTTATAATGCCGGCCTCCCAAAGTGCACACAGTGATATTTACCAGAAAGTTAAAAAAAAAGGATGCAAATCAGACAGGGAAAAACAAAACAAAAAAAAAAACTCTTTACAAAAGGTCAAGATGTCCCAAAAAGAGAGTTCTTCAATAACTCAAAATACCTTTTCAAAAACACAGGTTCCAGCACACAGTCTGGAGGTCCAGCAGGTGTGACCTCGTCTGCAACCACAACAACACTGACTCATCCAGGGCCAGAGCAGCCTCCTTTAAACCAGTTGCCTCTCCCACTAGGCATATTATTCACATAAGAAAAACACAATCAGCATATTGACTAATCAAAAACACAATTTACCCCAACCCAAGTTACAAGTTAACTTAAAGGGAAATTTCGGTTTATTTCGAACTGTCTCCTATCGTCCTAAATTTGTTTCAAGTCACTAGTGACATAAAAATAATAGTTAGCATGTTGTGCTGCCATGTTTGTTTACCATTTAGCTCTGCTTTCCAAAGCGCGGCCGAAATATCGCGAGAACAAGCAGCAACAGCTGGAAGGCAGAACCGGACAGTAGCCTGAAAAGTTCATTCATTTATTTTATGAAAGATTTATAGAATAATGGCTGACTTTTTGCCAGACTTTGACTTTGTAGAGGAGGAATTTGATTTTGCAGAGTTTGATGGCCGCCCTTATTTATTTGAGCCAGAATACACTGATGAAGAGCTTCGTGAAATTGAAGAACGGAGAGAGAGGCGCAACAGGTAGAGGATGAGAGAGGAGGAATGGCTGCTGCAAGGCTGCGTAGCTCTGGAGATTGGTGGTGTACCTGTGAATGCTGTGCCCCAGTGCCCACAGAAGAGGAATGCCTCTGTTGCAAGGAATGGGACCGGTTGCAGCCTTATTTTCAAGGTCTGGATGTGACCGAGGACGAGACACCTCCACCTGGAGTAGTATCCAGCTGGGCTTTATCTAGAGCTAACAAGATATATTTCAGCCGCGCTTTGGAAAGCAGAGCTAGATGGTAAACAAACATGGCAGCACACCGGTAAGGTAAGACAACACGTTTACATGTGGTTTTCTATATGCTCTCTGACATTTATCCTAATGATATGAGGCGGTCTTTGTGGAGAAAAAGCTTGTTTAGTGGACTAACTTTGCACTTGAAGGTTGCCCATTCAATTACGTTTTAACAGGTCTGACGCTACTATGCGCCCCGGCTGTATCTAGGCTAACGGCTAACATGCTAACTATTATTTTTATGTCACTAGTGACTTGAAACAAATTTAGGACGATAGGAGACAGGTTGAAATAAACCCAAATTTCCCTTTAACAAAAAAAAACATAATAATGCAGGTCACATGATCATCAAAGGTGCGAGAACTGACTATTTAACACAACAAAATGTTACGCCCTGTTTCGCCAACCAAACTCAGATGGCTGGCACCAGCAGGATGAATATGCAACATACTCCGTAAGGTGAGTGATACAAGGACTGTGTGAATGTATGGATATGAATGAAACAGAGGGAAAGAGGGAAAACTATTTTAATTATTATGTTTAATGACTCGGTGAAGACAGAAAGGGAGCGGGGACTGCCCACAGTCAGTGAAAGAGTCGCTCCGTCACATCATCCCCCTCCTCCTGGAGGTTGGTTATGTGCGGGATGGTTTCGTCACAAGTATCTTAAAACAAGGAAAAACGTACACAGTCATTGAAAAAGTTACATATTACTGTAGAAGCCCAAATGATAGTTGCATTTCTCCATCTTATGCACACTATGAAACAGTGCTCACTCCGTCCTTCAGTCAGGTGTTTCCACTTTTCTGTGACCTGGACAAGACACAGGAAATACAGAGGCTACAGGTTTCAATATAATAAAAACCAAAACATAATGAAATGTTTATATGATTCAACACAACATATTATCCTAACAAATGTTTTTTTTCTATCACGGCTAGTAGTTTGAAAATATTAAACCATCAAAAGTCATGGCTCATAAAAGCAGCTGGCTTAAATTGACAATTTACTAATCAAATTAAATTAACCTTAGTGAAAAAATATCTCCTGAGGTAGAAATGTTCATGAACACAGAATGAATATTTGTAACATGACATATTAAGTTGACCTTTCTAAATTATTTGTGTAATGATTAATCACAATTCAAAGTAAAATACCTCTCTCCTTGCTCCGTTTTGCTTTGTTTGTAGGAGCTGCACGTGCCTCCCCAGAACCTGAGATAATGAATAGAAGCAAAAAACAAACAAACTGTAAATATTAATAGACAAACCTTTGTATCAGGCAGAGTAGTTGTCATCTGTTGGTAGTCAAGTTTAAACTTAGTTAAAAACAAAAGTAATACTCGTCACATAGGTCCTGATATAGTTATGATATTAATGTCCCCCTGATGTAAAGTTACAGATCATGATGTCAGACTGATCCTTACTGCAGTTAAAGCGTCAGTAGTTGACCACAGCTAATCTATTAAAAAGCTGCCACAGCTCTGTTCTCATAAACATCTTCAGACGTGTGAACACAGCGATCAGAGGGAACGATGTGGTTTCACTGTTTCATCGCGCTCTCTTAAATATAGTCACTCACGCTGTCAGTATGAAGATGCTCTCACATTTAAACTGCTGATGGTGATCATTATTACTCACAGAGTGGCTTCAGTTGAAGATTCACTGAACAAATGTTTCGTCTTGTTCAGGTATTTCAACTGAGCGACATTTCTCATCACTGATTTGATGTGGTTTGTGCTCCACTGGCAGTCGTCTGTTATTAATGCAAAGTAAATATAACAGTGTAAAGTACCTCTCGCCTTCTTCTTCGTTGTGACAACAGCACACGTCCCATTTTGATCAGCCACGTTTGCCTCAGGACGAACTGAAATATCAACAAAAAATTTCAACACAAAACTATGAACTGTGAACTATTAAGTTGGGTTGATACTTCATTTCTTCTGGCTGAGACACGGTAACATACGTCCATATACTTAGCTGTATATTTCATCAATACTTTGCTGATGACAGCCACGTTTATACACACAATGTAATCCAAAGAAGCGCAGCCATTAGTGCCGTAATGTTCTCACTATGTCATGTGAATCTCAATCGTTCACTGTGACATGAACACTTTCTAAGACATCTCACTGATCTAATAAAAAACGCATGTGAAAACATTTCAGCCATGCGACAGCCGAACTTAATTTGGTCACAAAGCACATCATGCAAAACCACAGCTGCAGGTTTAAGTGTGCAGCAGACAAACACTTACACTCAGCTTTGTTTAGTCACAAATCACGTGTAATGAAAGTAAAATGAGAATCAGTCAGAGACGTACTTCTTTTCTTCTTGCGCCGTGGGATATTAGCATATAGAGCCATGGGTGGGTCAGCTACATGGGCGTGTCCACTAACTGGAACAGATAGAAACAACAAGAATAATCATATATTTCAACAGGAGAGTTATGTAGTAGTCACCCTACCCTACACCCCCTCAACACTGCACATATCTGTGCAGCTGAGAGACACTTGTGCTCAACATCAGTTTAGCAAAAACAAGTTTAATAACTCAGAATAAGTCAGAGACGTACCTCTATTCTTCTTCGGCCGTGTGATATTAGCATATATATCCATGTGTGGCTCAGCTACGAGGGCACGTTCACTGACTGGAGCAAAAAACAACAAGGACAAAGACATATTTCAACAGCTGTAGCAGACACAGTTGGCCTGAGACACAGTCAGCCTCTGGGCCTGGACACATGACTGGAAAGAACCATAGTCAGGACAAAAGGCTGATTAACTTACTGCAGTATAGATGCTTTGTTTTAAACTTACCAGGGTTTAATCCTGTTGTTGGTGCCTCAGAGGAAAAGCATGCAACTGCATGGAACATAGAGGCAGAATATGAGAACTGATAGGACAGCTGTACTTTTACTGACACACTACTTCCTGCATTGGCACAAATCATCAGGTGTGGACTGTACCTTTGCGTTTGCGACACTGAAGCAGCCCCACAGCTAACAGCAGCGCAGCCACACACGTGACGGTGAAAACAGCCGGTAACGGGACGGAGAGCTGAATGGAGCCATGGTGCCGAGGATGAGGAGGTATCTCCTGATACTGAGGGGTTGTGTCTTGAGGTGCAGGAGGGATGTATGCTGTGAACAGGAGGAAAGATGGATTAGTCGTACTGATTGTCAATGTTTCAGGGAACAAATGTTGCTCTGTTTGGCTCCTGGTGACGACAACCAAACGTTAGTGATAAATGCTGCATGGTTTCTGGGATGGAGAACTAGTCTCTGGTCCAGACTGAGTTAAATCAACAAATATCAGATGAACTGCGAAGACATCTGTAGCTGTTAGCATGTTAGCATGTTAGCATGATGTGAGCATTTAGCTGAAAGCACCAAAGTGCCACAGTAGAGCTTCACAGAGAGGCTAACACAGCTGTCCCAGTGACCCTCCCTCTATCACCACGAGCCGAAACCTTAACTTTACACCTGCAAACTCATGATCTCACAGACTGATGACATGTGTTGAACATGTTCGGCCAGCATTAATAATTTGATTGACATTATGTGGATTAATTGGTTGAATTAACTGACATGATTTATGTTTCTCTCTTTGAGGTCATCAGCCTAATGCTCAAACTGAAATGAGTGCAGCTGTCCTGTGTTCTCTGTTGTTGTCTGTGCCGGGTGGAGTTCAGGCATTGAGGCTGAACCCAACACAAACTTGACAGACACAGACACCAGCTACGTCTTGCTGCGGCACAATACACTGCGAGGCGGCGTCAGTGTATAACGTGGCTGCATGGAACCTTTCATGGTACACAGCCACCGTATGATGTGCAGACAGATGGTAGGTTCATAAGGTGTCCAGACGGTGCTGGTCATGTTGGTATGATGCGCTGCTGGATGGCTTCAGTTGGAAACGTAATATAAGAAGCTGGAAGGTGCCTGCATCGACAGAGTGGCCATATGTGACGACTTGGGCTGAGAACGTGTTGAGATATTAAAATGACAACAATCTCACCTGTGACAGCCAGCCAGCTCTCTGCTGATCCTCCAGCTCCAGAGATGTGACACCTGTAGAGTCCTTCATTGGACCTGGAGACATTGCTGATGGTCATCCGGCCCGTATATCCAGTCTTACTGAAGAGGCCGTCTCTATAGAAGTCAGCTGCAGAGCTGGACGATGTCATCTTTCTTCTGCAGCGCAGAGTGACGGCATGTCGTTCCATCACAGGCAGAGCAGGACTCTCCAGGATCACATCACCAGCTGGACAACAAGAAATAAAGTGCAACAACCTTCACCTGCTTTATTCTGGAGCTTTCAGCCACACTGTGTTTTCTTGAAGAGCAGAAATGTTGCTGGAGTCAGTGTGTGTTGAACGTACCAGTGACGGTGATGTTGACAGCGTTGCTCCTGTCTCCCTCTGCATTTTCACACCAGTACTCTCCACTGTGTGTTTCAAAGGCAGGTGTGATGTTTAAGAATCCAGAGTCCCACTGAGAAACATTTGAGGAAACCTTTCTCATCACTCTCCATTCTGATGAGCCGTGAAACCCCCGACACTTGAATGAGATGGAGTCATACTCAAAGAACTGCAGTCTGTTTGGGTCCACGTGAAGAACACATGCATCTGTCACAGAGAAGAAGAAGAAGAAGAGTTAAAGATCTCTTCCAGTCTTTAATCCTTGGTAACTGGTATTCTCCCATCACTGCCAGTGAAGGAGTTCAGCTGTAACATACAACATGTCTCACAGAGACTCAAACTGTCCAGATAACAACCTGAGCATTATCCAGCCCGGTCACCAGAGCAAAGTGTTGGCACTGTGGTGGTGTCATATCAACGTTTCTAAAGTGACGTAGAATATGATCTGACTTTGTCGTCTGGAGGTGGAGGGGATGGTGGATGGTGTGTTGCCGCGGCAAGACGCCGGCCAAGCTGTAGACCACTGTTAGTGACCAACACACAACAAAACCTGTCGTGTTTTCCACTGAAGAAGTTCCTGGTACTATTTGGGGGGCAGGAACTTCACAGGAACGTCCTCTCGCTCGGCCCTCTCAACCGCTGAGAGAGCGGAGTAGGAGGAAGGTTCCTGTAAAGTTACCGGGCTCTGAATGTGACGTAATTGTTGCACGACCATTTTGACCGGGGTGACACGGCAAAGAACGCTAAAGTCGCTTTCTGTTGAAAGCGCCTTGAGTATATCCAATCAGCACCAAGTAAACTCTAAGCCCCACCCAGGAGTTTTTCGGGGCTGTTCTAGTCTGGGGTCGTTTTGGTAAGGAACCAGAACCAGGGTGAGAGAGACAGGATCCAGAATTCGATGGATGCGTCTTTCTGTCAAAATAAAAGCACCAAGCTAATAAAAATGTGGTGAAACTTTTTAATTGAAAGAATATAATTTACAAGAAAAGCCCCAAGCCATTAATTAACCTTTTCTTTTATTGTAAAGCGATGGTGCGCCAGAATTTAAAGTTTTACTTTGGTGAATTTGGTGAATTCCGGATCCGCTCTCTAGACCGGAACCAGAATCCAGACAAAATTCAGAGTGAATGGAAACCAGGCTCTTCGCCGTACGTGAAGAGCCTGGTGACGCGAGGCTAGGGCCGTTCTGAGTACCTACTCTGAGGCAGGGACTTGTTTAGCCCCTGTAAAAGTTCCAGAACTCTGTCCTTTGGGCGTGGTCCCTGCGGTGGAGACACGCACCCCCGTAAAATTACCCCGAAGTTCCTGCGATGGAAACGGGCCTATTGTTTGGCTCTGCATTCACACAGGAAGCAGACACCAAGCTCCAGAGTAAAAGTCCAGGGTTTGGTGGATCATCCACCACCTGCCCCATAGGGACTTTGCTGCTCCTTGTATCATGTCATTACCAGCATGTTTCTGCTGTCCACCATGTGTCACGCCACCACAGGTGCTGTCTGACCATGTTATGAACTGACGCTGTTCAGCTGACTGGTGACATGTCAAAACACCGTGAAAGGCTCTGTCTGGCCGCATTATACAATGACGGCGCCCGGTGGGGTATCATGCCGCCAAGAAAGGAGGCTTCTGGTGTCGATGTCTGATGCTAACATCACTGACACGGCAGCAGTGTTTGGTGAATGACAACAGGATGGATATGCAGACGTATGGCGTCAGTTCATAACGCAGCAGGACGTTATATAAGAAGCTAGAAGGTCCTTATAGTTTGGGCAGGAGGGTAGATGGCTCCAACAAACCCTGGACTTTCAATCAAGAGGCTGATGTTCACTTCCTGTATGAATGTTGATTCAAACCATGACGCTGTTTTCTAACCCTGATCACACTTACATGCTAATGAAGCCAATTAATGAAGCTGAACTCACCAGATCTGTGAACACTGGAGCTGCTCTGCCCTTCATCAGTGAGCAGCAACATCACATTCAACACTGGAGAGACAAAGAGGACAGTAGAGTGTCACACACACATGTCTATATGTACAGTTACACACACATGTCTCTATATGTACAGTTACACACATGTCTCTATATGTACAGTCACACACACATGTCTTTATATGTACAGTCACACACACATGTCTCTATATGTACAGTTACACACATGTCTCTAT